GTTTCATGAGCTGATACATATTCAATGTCTTTTCAGTTTTTCAAGAAAGTATTATCTAATATAGTATTCAAATTTTATATACTCTACCACTATTACAAGAGCCATATTATTACTTACTCCTTTACTTTACAATGTAATTGTCACTTGAGTATTAATTCTCCTCTGCATTGGTGGCCTAGAGACCCATTTGCACAGCAGGGTGTTTATTGGAGCAGTTTGAGTACCTTAATGAAACTTGTAACAGCAGCACCTCTTTGGGGATTTGAACCTACAGCCCTCAAGTCCAGAGTCTAGAGCTACATTTCCTGCCTTTCTTACAGTATGTTGATCCATATATTTAATGAGCTTGCACAGAGCTTCCAAGCCCTCATTTGTAAAGAACATTGAATGTACAGTATGCTCAAAGGATAAATCAATAGCTCTGTAAGATTCGTGCCCATTAAAGAGTAAAAGGCCCACTTAACACTCTCCTGCCTTGTTTTCCAGCTCACTGCACAGCTATCTAATTTATTGTCATTTTTTCAAAGCAGCATGACAATCATGTTTTGCTCAGATGTGCTGTCCCTAATTATCTCAGGTAAATGTCATCACATCTGAGTATATTTTCCTCCTGGCAAGACACTGTCAATTAAATCTGCAGTTCAGCACGGCCCCATAGGACAGTCTCGTGCAGACCAACTTAGGGCAAAATGAAGTACAAAGAGAGTATCACCAGGCAGGAAAAAAGAGAATGACCTTAGATAAATACTGTAGATAAGAGGGATAATAGGATTATTTTTAAATAAGTGACTGGGTGAGGATTGATTTTATACATAAGGAAAAGGTTATACAAGGAAGTATCCAGATCCATTGAAGAAGGTTTAAGGTCAGCCACTGGATGCAAAGGCAGAGTGATTGCCACTGGCACCCTGTAGGTGTGAGGTGAGCTGAGAGGATCGTAAGCTGCATAAAATATGACATTAAGAAGTCATGTCATGCCATTTGCCAAGCCGCTTTATTCCAGACGGTGTCCCGGGAAGCCAGAGTCTACCTGGCAAGCAACGAGCGCAAGGCAGGGCACACCCTGGATGGGGCGCCAGTCCATCACAGGGCCAGTGCAAGCCAATGATATATCATACATCATACATTCCAAAATGGTGAGAACGTATGAAATGTATTGCAATAATTAAATAAACATAAACATTTTATTTTATACTAATAGGTTAAAGGTCTGAATAAATAATATAAAGTAAAAAAAACAACTAAAAATTGAAAATGAAGTCTACCCACCTGAACTACTAACACTAGTTTGTCTTGCAAACAACTTGTAAAAGTTAAACAATCATTTGTCAGGCAATACCAAGTGAAAAAAATTGCAGCCACCTGGTTTGCTTGTTCTCTGTCCCAGTTTGATCGTAATAAATAAAGCAGATAAATATTTATTACAAAATTTACAAACAGGAAATAAATATTTCCATAAATTCAAGTCAACCGTCTCTTACCTGAACCCTAGTTTCTGTCTCTTCAGAGCTCATGTGTTCTGCATGTCTAGTCTTTTCAAAGGAACTGTTACAGATTGGCTCCACGGTCCATCTCTGGTGTTAGGTTAGATTCTATGAGAAGCGGTAAGAGCCGGAGGAAACATGAGATATAGTTCGGGGAAAACACACAGGGGTTTAATAATGCATCAAAATAACAGTGACAGTTTGTGAATTAGTGAACAGGGGAACAAAGAGAGGCATCCAAATCTGAACGGGTCCAAAGGAGGGTCAGGGCACTGCCTGATACTGTGAGATCCATCCTGAGACAACACAAGGTTAAAATCCATGGGAAGGGGAAAACACGCACACGGGAAGTCCTGGGATCACAGGGCAAGCTCCTCCAGGCCCCGGTTTAGAAAGTCAGGCGATGTCGGGGATGAGTCCTATGCCCTCAGGCATCCAGCAGCCTGGTGACAGGTGGGCCTTGTGACATCGACATCAAGGGAGGTCGACCGTGACAGGAACCTGTTCACAGTTACTGCATGATTCTTCTCTCATCTTCCTCCCCTCTATTTGCAAACCTGCTTACTATATTGTTAATATCGTCAAGTACACTTTACCTTTGTATACTTTTCCTGTTCTGTAGCAATGTATGGAAGTGCTGGAGGCCAAGAAGAACAGCGTGGAGTTTACAGACATTAATATGGAAAGACCTCCATAGCTTTGTTCTGTGTTTGCGTCACTAAATTGCTCACTATTTATCAGACTGTGCTCCAACACCTGTTGCTAAAGCTGCTAAAGAATGTCAGACTGAGATTCGTACCAATGTTTGGCGACATCCCTTCGCCATTCAAAGATTTCTCAGCAGGCTTGGGAGAACATTTGCCATTGTCTTCTCTTGTCACCGATATCATGAATTAATTAAACCAGGTCTGCACAAACAGCAGGCCTAAAAGGCACAGAGGAACAGCAGCAAAAACAGCTGCCATGACACCTAGCAGCTGCTGGCATAACCTCATACTCGCTATTGCCCCCCCCCACCGAAACAAAGATAGATCGCATTAAGGCATCTCTTCAAGAGATGCTCTCATGGACACACTTCTTCATCCCAGCGATAATCCCGCATCGGCAGGGTCCGCTTGTCAGCACCCTGTCTCCATTTGGCGCGGTCATAGGTGTCTTCCAGGGCAACGTTCACTTTCCGCGTGTCTTCAGCGATCCGATCCATCCGCCGCTTCTTGGGCCGCCCTCGCAGCCGCCGACCCATGTGGGCTCATGTGGGACCCAATCGAACGCTTTCTCCAAATCCAGGAATGCCATGTGGACGGACTTGTGCTTCTCCAAGAGCAACCGGGCAGCGTGGATGGTGTCTGTCCTCCCACACCCTTTGACAAAGCCACATTGGTTCAATGTGACACTGACCGTCTTGCGGAGTCTGGTGTCGAGGAGCTCTCATGGACACACAGTCCAAACAAAATCCCTAAAAGTACGATTTCTGGCTCGTCCAAAGTCTAATCATTTCCAGTTTGTTTGTGCCGTTGAACATGGAATAACAAACTTACAGTATATTTCTGTCGCGGATGTCAGAAGGGACAAACCGTGGAGAGGCCGGAGAGCGAAAAAGACCCTATGCGAGGCGGCGGAGCGGGGAGTTAGCCCGGGCTCGACAGTGCAAAGAGTTCTGGGGTGCCGTATAGAAACCTGTGCCCTCAGGCCACGGACGGAGCGGCGACCTGGTGCAAGGCGAGTCTCAGGACATCCGAATGTCAATGCTGAGCGAGGCAGAATAAGTGACCCGGAAATATATAGCCCAAGGAAAGAGGGAAACCGGAAGGACAGCAAAGCAGGAAACTAGGGACAGGACAGAGTAGGAGCGCCCTCTGACTGCAGAGGGCGTGACAATTTCACTGGCAAATCTATCTCCAAACTGACTGTGATAAAGTACTTCGTGGAAATAATTGGGTTTCTAAGAAACCTCCCAACTGCCCTCTAAGCTTGTCTGCCGTCATTGCAACAAGAAACATACATTGTTGCAACACAACTGCAAATTGCATACACTACCCAGCAATGTTTTGTAATACTGGTAATGTTCTGTCATAAATCTGTCCCTCTGTTTCCCTTTAAGTTATGAACAGCTTTAGATCCAGCAGAAGAGTTACAGTAAATAAGCCCAGTTAAGGTGTGACTGCACCATCCACAAGCAATTAGCTGATTTAAGCAGACCTAGATAGCCTGCTGGATGAAGGATACCAAAAGTTAAAGGGGAGAAGACCTGCTTTAATCTTTGTCTGCTCAAGACCTTTGAAAAGGTTAGAGTTGGCATATATATCAAAGAACAAGTCTAATTAAATAATTGGTTTCAGTGGGCAATTAAAGGTTAAATGGCATGAAAGAGGAGACGGGGCCAGCCCTACATACACAGATACTGACAGTATTGCAAATACATGCTATGAGTCAACCATTCTGTCACAGATTATTTTCTGGCAATTGTTAGTTTTAAACCTTCTGCCTTTCTGTTAAGCAGCAGCTGTTTTGTCATTTGGATGTGGTATTTAGGGCATTTACTGTACCAAGCCCCAGTTAGTCAAGGACACTGTGAGAAAGTGCATGTCTTGCTAAAATGGCAGCGACAAATGTTTTGAACCTTTATTAAGTGAATTTGGATTCCATCAGTGTGCACTAAAAATATAATAACATACAATTCATGTGTTTATTTCTGAACCTTGCCATTGCCATTTTAGAGTTTTAAAGCAGTTAATATAGTTACTTTAAAATATAGTTAAGATGTTTTTTTTTGTTTTTGCCATGTTATAGTTTTTGTGTTTAAATAAGTATATATTAATGTATACTGTCTGCCTTGAATTTTAGTTGATCAGATAAGTGTACCAATCAGCTGTGGCAACTTGATCGGAAAGATAACGACAATATTGGTCATTATGGTTTATTTTAATAGGGAATAACCTCTGAAAATAAAGTCTAACAAAAGTAATACATCCGAAAAGATAGAAAACATGACTATTGTCACAAAGCCTTTAAAACTTTATGTTAGTTGCAACAGACTTGCATATTTTGTGCAGAGCTGTGTCCTATGTACTTACTTTATCGGGATCATCCCCAGTTAATTTTCTGCTTTCAGTTTGGTGTAATCGACCTCTCCTGTTCAAATGTCTTGACATTCCAAACCCAGGTGTATATCCCATCACTAGAATAAACACCTGTGCACAGGTATATGATGGAATAAAGTAAAGCACATTTCATATTTATTTTAATTCTAAAAATAGAAACACAGTTGTTTTTTTTAAAATAAGTATTTGCATGATTCCCCAATAGATGTGAGCTAGTACTTCTCTCTTTTGGACTCTGCTGTTGAATAATGTGTTTATAAATCACACAGTTATGTGTGAACACTCCCATAGTTCAATTTTGATTAAGCTAAGTGGAATCTAATTTGATGTGTAGCAGCTGCCTCCTGTTGAGCAGCATGTTAACAAGAAAGGGATCCATTCCTTTCAGAAAGTATTCATGCTCAGGACATCAATCAAATAAAAGAAGTAGGAGCTCCTGGAGGCCAACGGTGACGTCAGTAGTAGTGTGGGAAATGATAATTACAGAGGCGCTGGAGCACTTCTTCAGCACAGCACACACATTTATTGCCTCTGTATTGTCTGCAGAAGCCAACTGCATTTGCTTGCTTTGGTGACAATAGAAGCAAAAGGCCGTGCTGCTGGCTTACTAATGAGGAGATCAGGAGGACAGAGTCTAAACGGACAAGAGATGTGAGTACAATTTGCAAACACCTGGAAAATTGCTCCCTTTACAACAGGCTTTGCCTTGTTTGATGCCACGTAAGTTGGTGCTTTCCTTTTGACAGAATGCTGCATTTGGCATAATACTCTTGTGTGAATTTTATCTGGGTGTGTTGACGCATTTCCATTTGGTCATTTTGTACTTTGTGTTTCCTCCTCGGTGACATCTCGGTCCGAGACACCCACTTTCTTAATGATGATCCATTACAGCTTTATCCAGTGTTTTATTGGTTTTGTAACCAGAGGGATGAGGAGAAGATGCACTGCAGCTGAATTCATTCAGTTCACATAAGAGTATGAAATCCTGCTGTCGCTTTTCTGTTGCGCCAGTTGCATTAGGGTTATCTGATAGGAGTCTCTGAAGTGTTTTACAGTCATATTTTCTGTGTGCATTGCATTCAACCTGCATGATCTGCAAGGTTTTTCCTTCATGCATCGTTTTCATCTTTGATTGATTTTCAGTTATGAAAATGTGTACTGTAATGTTGCTGCTCTTTGCCGTGTAATTACTGTACATAGCCTGTAGATTAAGTGAACTACAGCGCAGTATGTTAGAGTGCAATAGTTTACATACAGTAGGATGTTATTGTAGAGGTGAGCGTGTGTTTATAATTATGCGTGTATCTTCTAATACCATAAAAGAAATGCAGTAAAATTATTGATAATTAGCCAAAATAATAAGATAATGATCTTTTTTGTAAAAAAGCAAACATTAATGTTTATGTTGTCTTAGTGAAGCATTATACAGTATTTGTGTGTGAAACGCATGGATGAGATGGAAGTTTCCAAAAGAAAATGCTGAAAGCTTGAGCCCAGATCACATTCACTTGTGTGATTTTGCATAGTTTACCAAAACAACAATAAAGTACATACAGTAGTACAGAGAGATAAACACAATGATACAGTCAGTGAAACAGAGTAGATTTATCTTTTTTTACATTTTCTATGAATTTTTCTAGATCATACATTAAATTTTGAAAATGAGCTGTTTGCTCTCTAATTTCCTTATTTTTCTCATCTAATAAAGTCCTTCCTTGTATAATTTGGTTCCAAAGCATGCAGAAATATATATTTAAAATATTTTCTTCATGTTCTTACAAGCACAACCCAGAGAGGCTTCTTCTATTCAGAGAACCTAAGTAACACAACTAGAGCAGAAAAAACACTCCACTGAAATTATGTCTTGTTCTTATGCATTAATTAGGTTAGAAAACATTGGTTGGAGTAGCAAATCACTGAGATAAGCATTTGTCCAATGCATACAGACGCACCAGGGCAAAATCATTTAAAAACAGAACATCTTTTTGGTCACCTTTCTCTAACATGTTGTATACATGAATGCACTGTGTATATATCAGATGGAGAAAAGAGATGTAGTATCCCTAGACTGTAGAGATTTCCAGTTTAGAAGCTGTAATTTTTGTATCAATCAGGTTGTCTGAAGACTGTTCCTTAGGCTACTTTCAGTATACAAAGGTAGTTTTTTTCATTTTAAATTTGTATTTTTTATGTTACACAATATCTATTACTGCCCTGAGGTTCTTACATTGTTATATTGTACTTTCAAATTGTGCATCACAACAGAAACATACTGCTGCAGGTTATCTGGTCTAATGCCATTTCTAGCATGTCAAGACTGTGCTGTGTTAAACGTACAGTGTAAAGCATGTTTTTATACAGTATGGCTGGGTTTTAAGAAACAAATATGAGTGAATTTAACCTTCATTTCCAGAAGGCTTTTAATTAAAATACTTTGGGTTACAAATGATCAAAAGCTGAAATGTTGTCAGAAGTGCTTTTTGCAGTGTCTGCAGCAGAGGTGAGAGCAGTTCTAAGCAATGGATTTGCTTCAGGTGGTGTTTTGTGACACTGTGATTTAAAAAATCTGTTCTTGTGAGCTTTACGTGAGGAATTTTAAGGTGATTTATTTGATTTGGTATTAAGTTACAATATACTGTAAATGATGCATGCGGTAAAGGAAAGAGGCCTCATGTTGAGCTACATGAACATCTAAAAGAGCCAATTGTGTGTGAGAGAAACCATTCTGTTGCATGTACTGTACCAGACAGGCTATAGCAAACTAGACCTTAATGTCCAATCCCAGTCTTTAGTCCTGCAGGTTGTATTGATTACCTTAAATGTCACTAAGTGGAGATTAAGATAGCATGCTAACATCTCCTAATAAGAAACTGATTGACCCACTTAATTTATCCAGCGCTCAACTGAAATGAAAAACGGATGAAAATATGGCTCTGCAGAACTTTTAATTAGCTAGGAAAAAATGTAAATGTTTTTTCTCATAGGCGATAATTCTGTGCAGATTTTCATAACTTGTAGTATCTGAAAAGAGTTCATTACCATTTTCAGTTGACTAGCTAAAACTAAGTAAAAGGCTAAAAATTCATAGTATATAGACCACCGCATTCTTCAGATTCTGTTTTCTAACCTAGAGAGGTCCCTAATAGCAGTTACTATTCTGTCATGATGGCATGAAGTACACAAAAGCATAGAAAAAAATGTTTTTTTTTGCTTATCCTGACATTTTGACTAGGAGGATGTAGAATCTTTAGGAGTGCATCCTACTGTAATGTTGTCTATTGGAGCTAGAATCTGGCATTTATGTGTTCTAGTCCTCCTGAGGGAGGGATCACAATTTTGATAACTGCAGTAATAGTGGACTAAATCAAAATTGCTTTTGCATATCAAGACAGTTGCTGTTGTTGAAACCACGGGCAAAGTGCCTGGATTTGGTGATTCCTGGGGATGCAGAATATTTCATGACACCAACATGCCATCCCTGAAGACAGCCCTATAATTTCCAATGCGCATGGTGCCTTAATGGATTTATGTAAGAGCCCCTTCATGTGTTTCAGCAAAACCAGTTATTGACACAGAAAAGAAGATCTTCCTTTCAATAAGAAGCTCTGCATTGAAGCACACCAGTGGCTATAATAGCTGACAGCCCAATGTTACTTTGGTAAAGTAATACAGTACTTTTAAATTGGAAATCCTCGACTCTAATAGGAGGCTTCATAAAAAAGCAGCTAAGTTTACCTTAAATATAATTTGAAAAGACATTCTAGGTAGATGAACTGACACTATTGTGTGTCTCTGGGCTCATTCATATACGGTGGTAAGGATGAGTCTGTACTCCCCCTGATTATTGAAATGAGAATTACATAGTGGGTCAAAACATTAATAATAAATTTGTGAACGGTATTAAAAATATGGACCTGACTCGTAACCTATAAAATCTTCAATAAATAACTCATGTAAATCAGTGTTAATGAGCGTTAATGCTATTGACCAAAACATTTTATGTACAGAGACAGGCTTACAAGGATTTACAAGATTTTCCATGCCCATGTACACCAACAGTATTTGGGGCACTTTACAGGGTAAAACATCTAAATAGCATTAAACAGAAATATATAGATAAAAAATGGAAAAGGGAGAAAAGGTATACACTAATTTAAATCTTTAAACTACTAAACTATGTAGCTCTCTCTGAAGAGTGCAAAGCCCTGCTCGGAACACAGGCAGTAAAGAGAAATGCTCACCATTGTGTAGAGCTTTAAATATTAAAAAATACAATTTTGAACTGAATCCACGGGGTAATTGGGAGCCAGTGAAGACTTGTCAGAAATGGGATGAGTTAGTCATGGAGACTTGAACATGTTAAAAGTTTAGCAACTGAGTTTTGAACCATTTGAAGGCTGTGTAGGGAGACCACTGTAAAGGTTATTGCAGTAATCCAGTCAAGATGCGATGAAGGCTTGAATCAGGGTTTCTACAGCAGTGTAATAAAGAAAAGATCGAACGTGGACAATGTTTCTGAGATGAAGGTAAGACTTTACAGATGGCTTTTACTTGTACATAATTTGAAGATACTGTTTCCAAGTTGTAGAGAAATGAGATGTACTGTATCTTAGCTGGAATTTATGCACATCACCTCAGTTTTTGTCACATTTAAATGGAGTGATACATACTGTAAGACTGTACATTATGTACTGTATTTGCACAAAGATGTTTTGTTTTAAAATAATTTATAATACAATTTTAGTCTGTGAATTCAATAGTTAGTGTTACTAATGGTGGAAACTAGATGTAGGGATGCATCTTCAATTAAAAACTATTTTTTTTTATTCGACTAGTGTATAGTGAGACTATAAAAAGCACTGTAAAACAACATAATTGGCTTAGCAGAATAATTCTACTTGCCAGACGGAAGGGTTTGGACATTACTAAATGTATTTTTTTTTTCATTGATCTTAAATTAGGGTTTTAAATGAAAAAGTGGGCCAGGACTTGCTAACTTTTTTTTGTTGAATACAAAAGAACACTTCATCTGCAACAAGCACTGCAAAATGGTTCAGAGCACAAGTCAGATGAAAATTTCCAAAAGAGATTGGATGGAAGACTGCAGTAGGAAACTAGTACTTAGGGTTCTGATCCATAAAAAACATAGTTATGATGATGCTACTGTATATAATCTAATTGTATATAGAGAGGAATTTGCATGTAAAAATGACAGTAGAACTGAAGATCAGAATTGTGCCTCAGAGGAGGGCACTGTGTTGATTGGACCTTTGACTGTCTGCTGCCATCTGTAAGAGACTTTCTCCAGACCTAATAAGCAGTCTAGCCTCTGCCTGCTAGAAACCCAATAATTCAGTGCAGGTGCTCATGGTGTGAAAAACAAAAGAGTTTGGAGCTGGTCTCCTTTATTCAGGCGGTCCAGACTGCCTGAATGGAAAATTGATTGCCAAATTGCCAGTTTCTACTCTAAATAAAGTGTTCAGATACAGTACAATGAAAAGCGGTACATGTTATTAATGTCTTAGCAATTTAGTTCCTTTTTCCACAATTCCATTTTTAATGTATACTATGAGACATTAGGATGAGTATTGAGTATTTTTTTTGGCATTTATTGTGTTTTCAGTGTCTCTCAGTATATACAGTACAGTATCTCTCTTTGTGCTACAAAAATAAATATGTAAATTAACACAATATGCAGTGTAAAACTGACCTGGAAACCTTTTTTTAACAATTAAGACATTTGCCTCATGGTAAATAATTCTGACTACCATTTGTCTGCAAGTCCTTATGACATGAGACACATAATTGAGTTCATACAGTAGGTCACACAAACATCAGACTGCCAACTGCACCAGGAAGATATCTTTTATCCAAAGAACAGCACTTAAACAATAAAGAGAGACACTATTAAAATATACTCTTGTCTTACCACACTAACAGAGGGGAAGGTGTGTCCAGTTTTGCCAGCTGTATATTAAATTACAAAGGAGATATTTCCAGCCCATAAAACTCACAAGACAATGAGAATAAAATTATATATACAGTGTATGTACAGTATGCTTACTGGATATCTACAGTATATACTGTACATGACTCTGTTGTACTATATATAAAACAGCATAGTTTTTGTTCATCTTTGATTTATTTTTTCAGTTTCTGGTGCAATCAACATTGGTTTTATTACTTTATTTTGGGATTATTTAAATACACTTCAATGCAAGTGTATTTAACTACACTTTAACTACACTTTACCTTTAACTACATGCTGTCCATTAAATACAAAGTCTGTCAAAGCATTTTTATTTATTAAATAGTATTCATAACTGCAGCTATTATAAGTTCAATATGTTTTAAAATGTATTATCAGCATACTGATTAACTGTGGTTAGTTAACTAGAAAACTGCGTATTCTTAGTTGCTACTGTAAGTGATGAGCCTGCTGGGCCACAGACTTTTTTTGTTAAACTGGTTTTATTTACCTCATAATGGACATGAAGATGTATCTCATATCCCACTGCCAAGACATACTGGACGCATCAGGGTTGTCGCCCTTTGCCCTCATGGTATGGAATCACGTGGAAAGCCGAGCTCAGAGTGGACTGTCTTGCTGCTCCTTTACCTCTATCTTAAAAATACTGTACTCTGAATTGTTGCAGAAATTGAAAGAGTGCTGATCAGACCCCTTTCAATGTCTGGGCAAAGATTATGCTTGTGTGTTATTCCTATTTTGAAATGGCTTTTAGATGTGACCTTGTTGGAGCCCATTTAAGATGACACACACTTCTAGTTCTCCTTCGTTTTCGATATGTGTTGAGTGTGGTATCAATGCCTTTTATACGGTCATAACCAGCCTCTCAAAGCCTTTGTCAGGCTCTTCAGTTTCTGTTTTTGGTGCATATAAAGCTTGCTCAGTACTGTAGAGTGGAAAATTACAATATACAGTAGATAGGGTTAGCCTTAGCAGCATCTAAAAGTTCATCAGCATTAGTTTGGATTTGCACAACTGAGTGTTAGACAAATTGGTTTGAATTATTTAAGTGCTAGCAAAAAGGAAACAGATGGTGTGTCAAGTTCTGTGTCTTTAAATTGACAGATGTGTTTGAGGACAAAAAATAGGCTTCAGGGATATGTTTGACTGGATGTGTTTTTCAATATTTTGTAATTTGCACATGTAATTAGATATTATATTAAGCTAATCATAGTTTACATAAAATATTAATCCCCTTTTTAAACTGTATAGACTTACACTTGAAATTCAACAAGGAATCCTAGAGTATTGTCAACAAAAAGTTTAGCTAACAATTTTTTAATCTTGACTTTCAAAGAAACAACAGGATATATTCTTATTATATGCGTTATGACATATTATCTTTGTACATAGTATGAAATAAAGGCTCTACTTATAACATAGACTGAAGGAAGTACAGCATAATTCAATAACTTAACAAAGTGAATAGTATTGTCAGGCACACTTTGTTGGGACAATGCAATAAAACAGAGGCTAGTGGGATTGTAGTAGCCTTTGGCATTATAAAACCAATTGCACCTCCTATAAAATAATATTCTTATTTGGTACATTTTACAATTTTATCATTGTGATGGCAGATAAAATCTTTAATTTGAGGTCACAGGATCAAAAGCAGGCATACATACCATAAGAAATCCTGTGAAAAGACATCAAAATAAACATATCTTTTGAGCATAAGCAATTCAATGTTTAGTTAACAAAACAACCTGTTTCATTAATTATCCTCCATAACCCAGTCCAAATTCAAACTAACCCTGGACTTTTTTTTTTTTACCAATTTACATAAGATAGATTTAATTAAACTTCCCTTTCAAAAATGAACAAACAGTTTTACTGATTCCTCATAGAGATATATTTTAATATATTTTTCACTTTTAATATTTAAGCTTAAACAATTGCCATTACAGAAAAATACATCTTGGAAATGGATTCATCTAAAAAAAGAGATCTTTAGATGCATATATTTTTCTATCAGTTTAATCTATTAAATCGAATTAACATTTCTGAACCTGTCCTGTGTTTTTCTTTTCCAACAGTGGCTTCCATGGACACTCAGGAAATCTAATTTCCCTGCAGCTTTAGAGACTGGAAGCTCTCTACACGTTACTTGTAGCTGGATCAAGCCTTGGTGGATTTATGCAATTAAGTGTGTGTGCACCTTGGAGGATAGAGGCATTCAGGTGATTATCTGATTGCCAGAAGGCTGAGCTGACACGGATATTTGGAATGTGACGAGGTGCCGTTTTTTTCGTCATGATGAACCAGGAGAAGTGGGTCACCCTTAGCCCTGCGGAATTTTCCCAGCTTCAGGAGTACGCTCAGTGTAGGTGGATCGTCTCATCTTGTGTGTGCTTTTGACCTCACTTATTAGCTGAGCTTTAGAGCAATTAGAGCAATGGTAAGATGGCTCATTCTAAATGCTTAAATCGGTTTAGAAATTATATTGAGGGAATAATACAGCTTTGCTTTATACATGTAAACAATGTATCAAGGCCGAGGTCTTTTCCAAAACTTGGTATCCATCAGAAACATGGAATATAAATCAGTTACACAAAGTATAAAACAGATGATAAACAAAACCAAGTTAAAATATCTGCATTTTTGACTTACAGGTTTTGAAATGCTTCACAAGTCAGTACAAAAGTTGAAAGCTGACACTTCAAATGAATCAGTACAAGACATAAACACAGGTCATGGCTGTAAGTGTTTTGAAAGATGTTGAAGGCTCATGCACACAAAATGTAGGTTCAGCTTCCCTCTAGGCAATCTGCCTCCTTCATAGATTAATGAACTAGATGGGCAATTTTTCCATCATTTGCCCATATGTCTGCTGTTTTTCATGCCTAAATGAGGCACTCATGATCAAGGGATTTTTATCCATCAGCAAAATAATGTACATCCTGTCTAAAAAGACTTCATTTGTCAAGAACACTTCGTAGAATTACTGTTCTGCATGTGTAATGTAACTAAATTACTAATCCATCCATGTATCTGTTTTCTGACTGCTTCTTCCAGTTTAGGGCTGCACAGGAGCTACAGCCTATCCAGGCAAGCAATGGACACAAGGCAGGGAGGGGACACTAGTTCATCACAGAGCAGACACACAATCACAGACAAGCAAATACTCACACCGGGGCCAGTTGTTCCAGATGCCAGTTAACCTACCAGTATGTCTGTGAACTTCAGGAGGAAACTGGAGCACCTGAGGGAAACCCATGCCAACACAGGGAGAACGTACTGTACAAATACCATGCAGATAGCACTCCTGGTCTGAACCCAGGGCCTAAGCGCTGCAAGACAGCAATGCTAACTACTGCACCACCATTGAAATTGAAAATCTGAAATAAAACTGTGTAAGATTAACTGATTTATGAATATGTGTAGAAAGAAACAAGATATAAATGTTTTTTCACAATTTACATCCAGCATCCAGCAATGAAAATTAATTTAAATGTTTATACAATTTATTTACCATACACTGTTTTTCAGTATTTTCCCCAAGTTGGAATCAGTGGTTGCTAATCACATAATATTGATAAAGATGTGAAGTACAATTTGTTTGCAAGAAGTGCCGGGATTAGGATAGAATACAAACTGGTTTGGGTTTGTGGTGAAATTCACAGAGTGTTTACAGGGGTTTTAAGAACAACTTTGAGTAAAATACATCAGAATCGCACAGCTGTTTCAGCATAAGCACTTACTATTTGTTATTAGCTTCTATTAATAGCAAAAACAACTGATTGATCTTTTTTCTTAAAGATGTACAGTACAGGTGACTCCTGTTGTTTCCCTCCAAGCAATCACTTGTGTTAATGGCCCATTTTCTGGCTGATTGGTTTTTCTCTTGTCTTTAATTGGGTTTGAATTGTAATTTGACTAAAATGATCTGTACACCCTTATATTCTACCCTGTTCATGTTTATATTGGACCACCAATTCATTATTTCTAAAAGGAGCTGACAAAAAGGTGAGGCGAAAATTATTTTCTGTTATTAGCTGTAAGGGGACCTGTATAATGCAGTGGGTATACCTTTGGGCACGTGACTGGCTAGTTGTGGGTTCAAATCACAGACCCAGACAGTGCGTTTTGGTCCTTTGAGAGAAGTACTTGACCAGAATTGCTCCAGTCTACCCAATTGTAAGTGGGAATCAGGATTGCTGGGGGGTAAATCTCTGCGATGGTTCAGTGTCCCACCCAGAGGGAGAATCACAGGCTCTATAGCCTGCTTACCACAACAGAAACCAGGATGACCAGCTGTGGCTCTGGTATGGACTATTACTTTGGACTAACGTTGGAACACATGAGTGTACTGTAGATCATGTGGATCTGTTTTTTTATATATTCATAATGGCACCTAAAGAAACATCCTCTAAGGAACTAAGGAAGGTTTAGAGTGCTTTTCTCTATATCAGGGTGTTCAAAAGCTGTTGATTATATAAACACTCCCTTAGTACAAAAAGAGGCATTTACTGCTTAGAGACGAGGATGATTCAGCCTCTTTTACAGCTTATTATGAAAATGCCACAACTATTCTGCTGGCTGTACTTAGGTTTGTTTTCAATACCACTTTATTTGCATGATGTTTTATATAACTACATACAAAACCTGCTTAGAAGCTACATAATCATAGTCTAATAACATTTATAATCAAATATCCCTTATATCCTTTTTACAAAAAACAGGTAACGGTTTAGGTCATTCATGATGTCCTAAACCGTAATCTTAACACTAATGCCCATCCTAACATTAGCCCCAATCCCAGCATAGCCCAATGTATTGATTTTTTGTTTTAGTGCACTAACAACAGAATCTAAACCTCTTTCAATTGTTATCATCCTTTGTTGACTTATTTTAGTCTTTTCTATCATTTTTTTTTTCTGTTCCCAGTTGGATTTTTCCATTCATTGTTTCTACCAGGCAAAACATTCTGGTCATGTACAGCACATACCGTAAGCAGTATTGATGAACATTAATCAAGCGTGAAAAATACAGTCAGTGTGTCCTGCTGCAACCCCTGCTGAAAAATGATAGATGTTTCTTTATCATTAGTAAACATTTACATGATAATAAGATGAACACTAATGCTTATTTCAGTAGCTCAGTCAAACCATGATTAAACAAAGAGGAACGATTGAAATAATAAAGTCTATTAGTAGCTCGCCTGGCTGGGGAAAATGACAGCTGTCTGTAAGAACCCCCCCCCTCCCCTTCAATCAAGGATGATCCATGGAACTGCTGAGAGGGTGAAGATGGGCCACAGGCAGAGATTTGAAAATGAACCCAGTAATTAGGAAGAGGAAAGGTGTTGATACAGTACTTCAGTTGGCAGAAGTGGGCAAGTTTTGGGTTTGACCTTCTCTCAAACCTTTGTTTTAAACTGATTAATATAGGTCTGTCTTCAAGCAAGGGCACAGTAGTACAGACATGACCAAGACGTGCCTGTTACAGTGTAAAGTGTTCTTGCAGTAAATCTTTTCTGAAAACGGTTTATCAGAGTGAAAATCAATATTCACCTTAAAAAGGAAATTTCTCTTTGTATTACACTGTTTTGGCTTCTCCATCTTTGAAAATGTTAATTGCCCCGGTCTCCATGGGGGTGAACTGATCAATAGAAAAAATCAAGATCAAATGGAGAATATTGAATTGTTTGGTTTTTTTTAATGTTCAAAAGCTAAAATGACTTTCTCATGAATGACGCACTCACTGATTAAGTGAGAATTTTTCATGAAGAAGTTCTTGGAGCAGCTCAGCCAGTAACAAAGCTTCTTTGGAGTTCAGGTTGATCCCCACAAACCAGAATCCTCAGTCTAAAGCCGAGACTACAGTATGTCCTTTTCTGTCTGTGCCACTAAGGTGTTTTGGACATTTTGGTCACAATATCCTTGTCTTGTTAGGAGCCTGTAAGCCTGAAGGTCTGTGACTGAGAGCTACTGTAACTCTTGCAATGCACTATTGAACTTTGGGCTTCAGTTAAACTGAGCTGCAGAGAACCAAGGGCCTCAAAAGCACACGGTTTTACCAAAAACTACAACGCCTCTTAACTTGTGTCCACATTTGCTTAAATGAAACAAAATAGCTCCATTTTACAGCATGGCCCTTCTATTGCAATCTGGATTCCAGAGCAAACCAAGCATCTGCTGCTGCCAGCCATCCAAATGACAGAACCTTCTTTTCCTCAGTTTCCTTACACGCCCTTAGTCACATGCCGTTCATTTCGGGCAACCTGAGTAGCAACAGAAGCCGCCGCATCACCTGCAAGCGGCAAACACAGGCTGCTCTGGCCATTTCAAAGTCACCCGGAGAGCATCATGTTTATCGTGCAGCCCCTTACACTGTCTTTACTTCCTTTTTCTTTTCACCATGTAATTAATGTCTGCTTTGTCCTTTGGAACTCTCGCAGTGACTCAGCTCTCCCCTCCAAATACATTCAGTAAACATTTAATTGGAGTTGGCTTGAAATTCCAAAATACCCTCATGAGCCATTGAACTTGGGTGACCCGCAGCAGGTCCTGAAGCGTGTAATTGAAAACAAAACCACAAGGACTTCGTTTGTTTTTTACAGTTATTGTCACTTTTTACTCCAATGCTCCTAGAATTGTTTTAAATAGCTTTGTCTGATTGTTTATCGTGTTATCTATACTCCTTGCTGCACCCTATTTCAATAGACCACATCAAAGCAGATTGGAATGTGTTTTCACTGTTTTAGGTTTTTCTTCAATATACCATAAAATTCATTATACCACTGTCCCTTATTCAGAATCTTTGAGCTTTGGGCATTTCTATAGAGGTCTTTTTGCATTGTAAATTATTTTTATACTGACTCCATCCTGGAAGTTAAAGGAGAAATTGCTTTTCCATTGAAAGATAAAGACCTATTGATGCAGCTGTGCTGCATGTTCCCAGAGCTGTACAGTGTAGGCTTGCAACTGTGACCTTTCCAAAGTGCACAGGAAGCAAGAGCAGTAAAATATGAAGTAAGGACAGTCTACAAGGAAGTCTACAACAAGGAAAACTCAATGTTCATTTCCTATGGAATGCATGCCACATGCAGACAATTAGCTCTACTCAGAAATGGTTAAGTTTATCCACTCCAAGTTAACTTTTTGGTCTGAATCTCTGAGCATTTTATATCCCAAATTTATATCAGAAAAAAAGACTTTTGTATCAAAGAGAGTAAACTCCCTATACCTGTGTGGTGTGTGCAAGCCTTCCCACAACATTCAATCCTTTTCTCTTAGATACAGTACCTTGCAGTACCTAACAGAACAGCGGTGAATACCCCCAGTTACGGGGGAATTCAAGAATATAGGGGTTTTACGTCACGCCCATGGACTCAAAGGCTGCGATATACAGTACAGCAACTGCAACAAGCACTCACTGACGAGCAAACATACTGTATCTAATAACCACTCATATTTTAACAAAACTGATTTTAGGTTGAATTACTATACTTAAAGGGCTTGCAACAGGATTTCTTTCTGTAATCTATTTAAATGATACACATTTGGATTTCCTTTGCAAGCTATTCATCGTGCAGAATGCACATCTAAATAATAAATACGCTAAGGTTTATGAATGTCCTAAGGGTGAAATGTTTAACTTAGTCTTGACATACCTCATGTTAATTGGTTTGTATATTGTGACAGCTATGCTGTGTCACCTGAAAATTGCAGTCGAACAACAGTTCATTTCATCACCAAACAGAGCACTTGGCAAGCCTTTCGTACAATTGCATTTTAGATGTCTCTCTGTTTTATGGAGATTTTAACAGGTATCATTTTAAATCTTACATCCTGGATGAAGGAAGCAGTAACTAAAATTTCTATTGCTTTCTGTTGAACAAAAGATAAAGTAAGGGGATGTAACAGTGAGTGAAAATAAGATTTCAACATACCTTACATTGAATTTAAAATGTTACATACAGCCAGATCCTAACTTTCATTCCGATAATCTGCATTTGTTCCCTATAACGTATATTACATACGGGCACACAGTACATGCTTTCAGTGATGGAAAAGGTGGAAAAGCTGAACGCAAACAGCAGTAGACATACAGTAAGCCACCTTTCAATTGAGATGTCCTAGCAAGGCTTTTCAGGACACTGGCACAAGTAGAAGAGGGTTCAAATAGGTAAGAGGGCTCAACCATAACAGTGTTATGTTGGTCCACTGTGGAGAGGGTTCAGGAGGTAAGAGATTTAATTTTAGTTAGCCACATTGCCCTGTCTGTTGCATTTTAACATTGAACAGTTCTCAATATGTCCAGCAGGCTACCCCAACCCCTAAACACAGTTGTTTGATTTTCTTGGGGTGTGTCTCCTAGAACTAATGGGATTTCATTTTTTTTTATTTTGTATTAGTGCTAAAAAAATAATCCTAGCAGAATTGGAAGCGAAAGAGAATCCTGGGACATACTATACAGTACTGTAGTGCATATGCTATCCTGTAATAGCAAAAAAAAACAACTGTGGGTGAACTGATGTGAACTGTCCAAGCGTTGACAGTTGACCAAAACATGTTGACAGCCAGATATGTTGGTGGCTAGCAAAAACCGACTGTACATAAAAACATAATGTTGTTTTCTACTAAAACAGTTTTTGCAGTTAAAACTACAGTGCAGTGCTACATTATAGTAGCTGGAATATACTGTCTCTCTGCTTGTCAGATCCAGTACTTTAACATGCATTATTTCTGCCTCACATTAAAAATATATTAGTAATACTGTATATAAAATATATTAAAGTAATAGAATTGTTTTGCAGACTCAACTAAGAAGCTTAAGGATGTTCTGCAGGAGTTTCATGGAGACGGTGTGCTGGCAAAGTATAACCCTGAAGAGGTAATAAATCAGCATTAGTGTTTCTATTCTTTTCAACAGACTTTACCTCTTCTTGAATATCTTCAGAGTGATTTTAATAGGCATTACCTTGGATGAGCTTAGACAGTTTGAAATGTGGATTGAGTGGGAAACTTTAACCAACTGTCTTGGGTAGAATAAGAATAATTTTATCATTTATGGGTATCAGATAAAACACCCGAAAGGAATTTATAATGGATAATGCAATTTTATTCATGGCTTGTCTACACACTATACACAACAATGCAATGGTGCTATACTATAGATTTCTAAATGTATTTTCTTTTTATTGAGTATGGTGTGTTAAATACAGCACCACCCGTAATCCTGAAAGAACATTACTTAGTGTCTTATCAGCATCTATGAGGGTCTGGTGCATCTAGATTGTTATCTGAAAAAAACAGCTGTAATGAAAAATCAAAGCTAGGCCATGAAAGGATTTTTCCCCTAAGATATCTCTCTTTTTTTAACAATCTGTTCACTGCAGTAGCTAAAGTGATCCTACTGTATCTATGTAGGTCAAAGCAAGCCGTACAGGTCTCATCACGTGCTTTAAGAAGCAGAGTCACACTGATAGTGTCAAATTAGCCTTGTAGTTAGATTTTTCTCTGTTCCTCTGAAAACCCGGCTGTGGTGAAAGAACCAACAAAACGTCTCCCTTTGTTTCAAAGATGATGCTAGATTTTTGGCATGTGCAGTAAGTGTTTTGAACTTACTCTTCCCTTTAAAAGCCTAACTAAAAAAATATGGTCACCTGAACACGAATGTTCAGTAGCCAAAGTTGTTAGACCCTAGTGAAAAGACTTAATTGAAAGCACGATGGAGGAGATGCATTCTTCTTCAGTCGCAGTACACAATGGACTGCTAATCTCCTGCCAAACAGTTCACTTCTGACAATAAGTGCAGACTTCAACTATCCAAATCTCACTCTTCAACTTGAGTAAGGTCAAGGTAAATACAATGAAATAAAATCAAAGTGTCGGTTTTTGATTGCATAAATTAAACATAAAACAGAACTAATGCTGCTAGAATATATGTCATTAAGCTGTTATTGTAATTGTGCTTGTATTACATATTGACTGTAAAAAAATACACTGGCTTGTTGAAACTGACAGTTATTAACCTCTTTTAAAATCTTTTGGAATGCTGCATAGAAACAGGAAATACTCAATCAGGTAAGAATTTCATAATGGAGAAGCATTAATATAAGTTTCCTGCCTTTAATACTTGTGCAAAAAATATTGTACTGTACTTCAGGTTTCTTGTTATCACAAATAAATAATACAAATTGTACATATCAATCTGCCTAATCTGATCTGAAAACATAATCGTCTACATTGGAAGCAAAATTTCCTATTGTGTTAATGTGTTCTCAAGGAAATTGTTAAAAAAGTAAATTGAAAAGTGAATCCTGGAGAAGAGTGGATGACAAAGGAAGTGACACAAAAAACAAACAGGTCTAAAGAATAAAACCATTAAAGCTGCTTTCATATAATACTTTTAAAGCTTTGATTTTTTATGTTTTAATCTGCTCATTTTTCTACTTCAGGAAATTGACTTTGAAGGCTTCAAGCTGTTCATGAAGACATTTTTGGAAACTGAGCTGCCCGAGGAATTTTGTCAACATCTTTTTGTGTCATTCAGTAACAAATTCTCTCACCCAAGCCCTAGCCCTTCCACATCAGAGAAGTCTCGTGTTGCAGGTAGGATCAGTTTCATTAGTAATAACAAGAGAAAAATATCTTTCTCTTTATCTTGGTGCTGCTCTATGCCTCAGTAAATTATTCGTTATAGCCTAGCTTCCATATTATTGCAATTCTTCATTCTTGATTTGTTACTATAAGATAGAACAAAAACATGCATTGGGCGAGTACTGGAGAAGTTTTCAGCAGAGTGTGATGTGGTTCAGATGAGAGTCAGCACCTCCAAATCTAAGGTCATGGTTTTCTCCTAGAAAAGACTAGATTGCTTTCTCCAGGTGAGGGGAGGACAGCTGCCCCAAGTGAAGTGGAGTGGAGTACCTTGGAGTCTTGTACACGGGTAGAGGGGAACTGAGATTTGACCACCTGCCTCCTTATACCTGTATCTCTAGAGTCAGTAGTGTGCTCACAGACCAGCACAAGTACACAAGCACTATCTTTTTTTATTACAGCCTATCAATGTAACCATTACCCTATCTTTCACTACATGCCAGACACGCAGAACACATGACACAGAATTTCCATAAGGCGCATACACACAGAAATACACAAACCCTCGTGAACCCCAGTTACCCAAAGCCTGTTACCCGTAGCCCAATGTCCCAGAAGAGAAGTCCAGCATTGCTGTTCTCCTGAATCTCTCCTTCTAGTACCCTGGCATGCTTCCTGCTGCCACAGAGAAGAAAGTCCTTTTGGTGGTCTTAGGGCTCCTCTTCATTCCCAGCTGACCTGAACAACATGGTTCTTTATCCCAGGGAAGAATAGTACTTGGTTAGGTGGGGAGAAAGATGATGCTGAGTCTTCCTCTACTACTCTCTCTACAGCCCCCCTCTGTTGTCTGAGTCCTCCCCTGTGTCCAGTGGTACAATCTGTGTTCCCCCAAATTCTTCTCCGTCAGTTCTGCTCTCAGACCTTCTGACTGAGGCTTATGAAGGCCCTTCCTTGCCAGAGCTCAGGACTCGAAAGGGAGGGTCCTTGTGATGTCTTGGGTGTTAGGCAGAGCTAAGGCTCAAGGTGGAGTAACGAACTGCGCCAAAAAGACCCCTGGCTGAGGGGAAGCTCAGAGTACAAAGAACGACAAATGCACCGACCCTTACAAAGACACTGTCAAACTTAAAAAAATCAATATAGTCCCCCTCACCTGTCGCTGCACACCCACGTTTTCACTCTGTGACATTTAAGAATAATTAATGAGTGTATTATTTTTCCACATCCCAGATATGTCAGTGATATACAATATAACATGCCACTGACACAGCTGCATAAAAGTCACGAGAAACTGTGAGAGGGGACCCTAAACACATTACAGAACAGCACATGAATTTATTTCCCTCCCGCTTTCTAGAGTTTCATATTGTCTCAGCCCCGGTCTGTTTCCAAGTAGCAGTGCCCCTGACACTCTTCTCTTTTTTCAGGTCTAAAGCTTATTAAAGGAAATACAACCCCCTCAAGGGTGCCTTACCTACCAAAAATGGAGCCCCCTGTTTCTGTGCAACTGAAAGATATTGTCTGCTACCTGTCACTGCTTGAAGGGGGGAGACCGGAGGACAAACTGGAGTGTAAGTACTCGCTCTTTGAAACCAGTATTTTTTCATGGCAGCCTCATCACAGAGAATAGTAGCCTGAACAGGAGAGGAGCACCTTGTTGCCTTCTAATCCATGTCAATCTTTCTTCAAAGGCCAACCCACTGACAGCTACCAGTAGGGTTTCGCTCAAGAAGAACCCCTGAATATTTCAGCAGGAGCTTCCTGCTGTTAAGAGATCTTAATAATAAATCCAGTGATTCATTTTTTTTCCACTACTCAGAAAACCTTTCCATTTGAGCTGGAGTCCCTACAACAGGGAAAATCTTTTGTTTTTACGAGACAGAGGGTTGGGATAGGCAGCGTACTGTATATTCCAGGTATCATTGAGGTGGATGCTGCACATTGGTGGTGGTGGAGGGGAGTCCCCATTACCTGTAAAGCGCTTTGAGTGGAGTGTCCAGAAAAGCGCTATATAAGTGTAAGCAATTATTATTATTATTATTATATTGCACATTCATAAAAAGGACAAAAGGGGACCTGTGAGCAGAGCTGCGAGTTTTGGCCTGAATGAAGGGTGGGCTCCAGCACACGGTGGGTTCAAGACAGGGTGATGTGATGGGACCTACCCAAGCAGTGGTCACCTCTTGTGGCACAGCTGGGAAAAGACAGCTAAGGTCCTTCCAGCCTTTGGCAAGAGTGATACCTCAGAAGGCGGTGCCAGTCCTTCGATCAGGGTCTACCCTCCTGTAGGGGTACCGTGGGCCTGGCAGAGTGTCACAAGAGCATCTCTTGAGCATTTGTGTCATTCCTCATCCTCTCCTTGAGGAAACAGGGGCTGTTGCCGTGTGCCAAAAATTGATTCCTGCAGATTAATCAGGAATATAAAAGCAGGAATTGGTCACTCTCTGTGAAAAATAGATAGACTTTTTCTAGGCTAAAATGAGCAGCTTTTATTTTAGCCTAATCTTTCCAATTTGATGTGTTTATATCGGTAAAATTTTGCAGCTTGGATTTTACCGCATGTATTTTAAAGAATTCACAAATATCAAGTGCCCTCAAAGAGAAAATTATGGGAGGATGTATTAAATAATTTATACGGATAATTTCAAGAGACGTTCCCACCTCTTCCTACAGGGGTGGGCAGTTCTGACTCTGCAGGGCTGGTGTGGCAGTAGGTTTTCTTGGTCTCTTGAAAGCAGCAATACCTATAGAGAGAATCTATTAAATTGTTCCTGTTGTGTTAATTCCAAAGCCTTTTAGGCTTTTAAGAGTTAAGGTGGAATGAAAATCTCCAGAGCGTGATTGGGACAACCCAGTGTTACTAGAACCATTCTCTCTCAACAGCAGATTTAACAGGAGCTGAGACCCAAATGAGTTGCTTTTTAAAATCAGTTAGAATCCGTTTTCTTTTATTCCAGCAGACACCGTTTCTTACTGTAAAGCAAAAAAAGTTGAGCTCAGTTTTTCTTTCCTTTGACCCTTTTGCTTTGTTACCACTGTAATACATTTCCAGACCTTCATTCACAGAGGCAGCATTATGCAAATAGCCTTTTAGATAAGAAGTTCAGAAAGCTAGATTAAATAAATAATTCTATTTGATTAAAGCATATATAGCCATGCAAATGTGTTTTTCTCTTCATCATGAGTATCTTATTTTCAACCCAGAACGCTCCATTGTGGCAGGGAGGTGAGTCCCACATAAGGTCTTTCTTAGACAGAGTGCTCCATCTACTGGAAGCCCTGCACTTGTAGAAAGAATTGTTTTTTAAGCGTACTGTGCTGTATACAAGTTGTGCTTTCTTATATATTTTTATAATTACATTTACCTGAGCACATGAAAATGAACTCTCAGCTTAAGTGCTAAACCTTGAACCATCTAAATGCCACATTCATGTTTTTCTGAATTCTGTTGTTCCAAAAACAAACAACAAAACACCAATAGTTTTTTCATTGCAGTGCAATGATCAGTGATACAGAACTATTTTTGCCAAGACAAAATGAAAAGTTTAATATTACGAAAATATGACATAATAATCTTGCTACTATTGCAGAACATGCAATGATTGCAATAAAATGCTCTTTACTGTTGTCCCTTTTGACTATGGGTCTACAAGCCTAAATGCCTTGTACCACTGTACATCCGTTTTACTTCAATAACTAAATATTGTTTCACAGTTTTAAAGTTTTAAAAAGACTTCAGAACCCATTTGGTGTGATTCAGGTGCAAAAATATTTCTGGTTTAATTGGAATAGTCTGCGGTAATGAGGTGCAGATCTACAGAAGCGCGTTGCTGCCACCAAGGGAAAAAAAGTAATTACGAGAAAAGTATCTAGTTTTTAGAAATATGCAGCATGTACTGTACTAAATGTAAAATCTGCCGATATCTGTTTAATAGAAGTCTTCCTTCTTGCTAAGCTGGGGTAAGAGTACATGTAAAATGATCCCACTTTTTGGGAAACTGCTTGCATAAGATAGGCAACGGGTATTAAACCATTAAGAGAAGATGGGCTCAAGGATTTCTGAGGATATTGAGAACGTGCAGTTCGCATCTCCAAAACATGAACTTAGACCAACAGTCTGTCTGCTGAAATGGAATGTGACAGAGCTCTACCAAATGAGGGGTAGAATATACCAAAAGTACTATTTTAAATGGAGAGTCTGCTCCTGCAATTTACAGTACTTGCTGTGTACAGTAGCGGAGGAGTCATGTCCCACCCTAGGGGGCGCCGCACTTGTGGGGAATGAATGAGTCTCCTCCTGGCTGCAGGGTGCTCGGGGAACATGCTGCAGTAGCGTCTGCTCCTGATCTCTCCCCTTTACTAAACTCACTCGCTTCTGTACAAGGAGGGGGAGGTTCTGGTCTGCCGTACCTCTTTCTCCTCATGTGAGTCCAGCGGTTGATTGTGTTCCCGTCTCTGCTTTTCCAGTGTTTTTTTTCCCCTCTCCTAGATCAGCACAGCTCTGTGCGATAACCCTGCGTGAGCCCTGTTGACCTGCTCCAGCCTGTCTTTTCAATAGGAAACTCCGGAGTCGCCACACCAGAGAAACGCACCTTAATTAATCAAGACCTTACCATTACTTGCTCTAATTCATTCAATTTCATTTCACTAGCACATTAAACAACACTAGATTATCCTTTGGGAATGCTACACAAAAAATTATATATACTTGTAATCACTTGAGATTACTTTTAATTACTGATTTTCTTGAAATTGTTATGTTAGCTACTGTATTGTGCTTACAGTTGAACCAAATGCATTCCGAAAAGATCATTTACATAACATTTATGTATAAAAACGATGCATTCATATGTACATTTAAATTGATCTACAAAAATCATTTAAGCTCTAGGACTACTAAGACTTTATGATGTGCTGTGCATTTAAGGTACTCCCTGGGTTACTTTTACAAAGTCCATTATACAGCATGTAAAATGTAATTCCAGTTTTTTTTCCATTTTAAATATGTTTACATAAATTAAAGTTGTTACACTGTTACATTTAAATTAAAGTACATGTAAAGTATATGAAAACTTTAGTAATTTGTATTTATTAATACTAATGGAGAATTTAGTCCATGATTTTTTTAACTTTATTGCATAATACTGTACATACAGTAGTAGGATAGGAACCTGCTACCATCACAGTATAAAATAATAAACATTCACAAAGCCTCAAAAGTAAAATCCAGTATACAAACGGTTTATAGAACCAAACTCAGTCAAGAACTGTACTGTTCTTGTAAGAGAAGCACAATATTTTGGATTTTGTTAGTAATTCCCTTACTGATGAATACAGTATGTGAACATCTTTATGGGTTACATGTTTTCTACAGCTGTTTGTGTCACAGACCAGGACCTGTGTCCTGAGTGAGTGTTCAGAGCTTTAAAATTGAAAAGAAATTGAATTTTGAATTGAGTTGCCATTTTGTGCCCATCAATCTTCTTGACATTTGTGAGTCTTGTTTAAGTAAATAATTAATGACCAAATACTACCCATGCAGTTGTTTGTCTTTTTCTGTCTTACACAGAGACAGACCCTGGTCAAATTGCTTTATGAGTTTCATAATAACATATGATGGATGGTTTATCGCTGGACCTTATGCCAGCCTAAATGTGTACAGTCTTTGTGGTTAAAGACTTTTTTAAAGAGCTCATTTGAACAAGTAGCCTAACTGGCTTCTAAAAGAGTCATCCTTCAAGTGACCTTTGGAATAACAAGGTATCGTACTGTAAATGATCATTTTTTATTTGCCTGAAGAGTTGACCAGATACTGTACATCTGACATAAAATCTGTTTTTAAACAATGACAAAAACTTTTTGTTTACATGCTACCTGTATTATAGGTGCAAATATGAAATCTTGACTTTGCCACATGAGAATTTAGTGTAAAATAATTTTAAACAGAAGCAAAAACGGAGAGATATGACATTGCTTGAATATTAGTGCATTATGGAATCCAGAGACTGGTGTGTTTAATTGAATAGAAAACCTCGATTAGTGTAGCGGTGTCCTTGTTTAAAACATTTTAATGCATTTTTCTCTGGTCCATTTTCCTATCATGGGGCTGGCAGTCTTTCAGGTCCCAGTTTTCCCAAGTTTTCTCCAACCACTTTACTTCTTGTTGAGAAGTCGGTTTCCATGACAATAGAGCAGAAGTGCAAGATGGCTGTAACGCTGTTATAGGCTGTATCTACAAAGTACAGGGGCTGCGTGAGTTTAAAACCTGAGATGTCTCAGAATGGTACTTTGATGACCCAGATGGATCATTTTGTATGCTTTGTAGCAAAACATAAGAAAAAAAATGTGTGCAGTTCAAATTTTCCAACAGTAGTCTGAAATTTTGTTAAATGTGATTACAGTATTCCATGGAGTTTGCCATAAATTTTTAATTTCATAATGAGACAAGGTTGTTTACCAGAAAACATGTCCTGCCGTATACCTAATTTTAAAGGTAACTACTGACATAGTGATGACCGGATTAAGTCAAAGCTTGAAATGCTTTGAAGGGTTGTCTCCAGTAGATCCTCCTAGAAATGTCACAGTGCCTGTTTGTTGTGATTAGTTCCACGGGAAAGATCTAGTTGTGTGTGAAAAGAGGAATGCATGAAAGTGGGCTTAATTGTAACCCTAAAGAAATAAAGATGTGAAACAAGAGAAAAACCAGGCTCCAAGTTTGCAATTAAAATATGCAGCTGAATCCCTTTTTGTTCACATACATGCATTCATTCTCAGGAAGTCATTTTTATCTTTAATAAAATGTAAGATGTAAAATAAATATTTTAGGCTGTAATTTGTACACAATACTACAGTCATACTTAACATTGATTTTCCACATTTTTCAGTATTACAAGGAATTTTACTCTCACAGTACATCACAGAAACAATCACTACGAGTGTGTAAAGAGAGCTGCACACACAGTGCCAGCTGTTGGATCTAACGAGGTTATCTGTAGTGGTGCTCATTCATAGCTTCATGGAAAACCTCTTCTTTTTAATATGAAATTCTGGCATGTAGCTTTCATCTTGAGTTTGAGTCTGTACAAAAAACCTCTTCTGAAAGAAAAAAGGTTTTAAATTAAAAAAACTGATCATATGTATTTGAAAGCATTATATACAGTACAGTATGTGTGTTGTTGTACTGTATTTATGAGAATGCTCTTTTGCATTACAGTTATTTTGCATAGGATATTCATGAGGTTAGAAATAGTACATATGTAGAAGAGATTGAGAGCATACTGCATACTGCACATATAGTTTACTATCTAGAAATGCCAGCAATTATTGTAGCATGTAGTATAGAAAAAGGCTTGTAACATTGTCATTGTTTACTTGAAATAAGATAAACCCCAACTCATATCAATGCCACGTTTTAATAGATGCCTGTCTTTCTTTGTCTTACAGTCATGTTTCATCTCTATGACACTGATGGAAATGGATATCTGGATAGCTCGGTAAATATTTTACAGTTTTAGCATGTTAGTGTCAGTGGTTGCGAGATTTAATCTCTTTGCTTTATTTGTAAGAATAAGGCTTTTAGAGAGATTAATCATCCCTCTGTAGTTACTTATACCAACCACATACTTGTGTAGCTCGTTCTGCCAATTGTAGTCTATGTCTAGTACACTTTACACAACCAATGTGTCTGGATAGCACCCACAAGAGAAGAATGGCTCAGAGCAGATATTAAGTGAGTATTTGGCAGTAAGGGTTTGTGTTACTGACAGCACTTTTAATTGGTATCTAGTGTAACTCCTTCAGAACATGCTCAATCAACATTGCAGTGATTTTCCAAATTCTTACAAACCAGAGAAAGCAGTCTTTGTTGAAATTCAGCCCATCCGTGAATTTGTGTCTCATGGGATTGGCATGACTTTAATGAGCGATATCCTGCTTGCGAACTTAAGGGCTGTAAAATTCTAACTCACAGACAAAACAGAGTCATGAAGAGTCACAGAACATATAAAGTTTTTTGTGTTTTGAAAAAAGACTGGTTTGTTAAGTATTAAGTTATTATTAAATATTAATAATACCTATTTTCAAATATTATAAAGTTATTATTAATATGGTAAAATAATACTTTATTATACAGTACATGCAATATCATGCCCCTATACATTTACTTAGAAATTGTCTGGATTCATAAAAACATATGCATTTATGCAATGATATTGACAAGAGCAAGCTGTTCTTATGTTGGAGAGTTTTTTTGATTTATTGATGGAATTAGAATAGATTGCCTCATATGTCACAAAGCCCTGTTTACTGCACCATTTAAACAATAAATTCTATGGCATCTTTTTTTAGCTTTGGGCTTAATTTTAAACCTAAAGAAATGAAGATGTGAAAGGAAAGAGGAAGAGGAAAACCAGGCTCCAAGTTTGCAATTAAAATATGCAGCTGAATCCCTTTTTGTTTGCTTACATGCATTCATTCTCAGGAAGTCATTTTTATCTTTAATAAAATGTAAAATAAATATTTTAGGCTGTAATTTGTAGGCAGCTCATCTGTTTGACCAATATGACAAAACAAAATGAGGAGTACACAGTAATGCACTCATTGACTAGTAAATGAGATACTGTATGTCATTTATTGAGCAATTCTTTTTTAGTTCATTATCTTTATGGAACACAAAGTGCTCCCCACTGAGTGTCTGACTTGGAGGAATAAGACCGCAGACTGATGCACTGCAGTTCCTGTGCTGGAGTATAATTCCTGCTGCTTTGCGAATAGGACCAGCACCAAAATTCCGAGGAATGGCCATATAAGACTCTGGCTTTGCTTAATTTAATCTGTTTAATCAAATGTAAATTCACTATCTCGAGTTCGTCAGTAAAATCAGAAAATCATTCATTTTCATTTAGATTTTCTCATGACTCCAGGGGTATAATAGTTTTGCTCTATTTTCAGGTAGAACACGTGCCCAAATTAATTTTGCATATTTTTTAACATTGTTCGTTACCTGCATTGTCTAAGGGATGCTTATTATTATCTTTCCTTTTTGAATTGTATTTACACAGGAACTAGAAAATATCATCTCTCAAATGATGCGTGTAGCAGAGTACCTTGAATGGGATGTCACAGAACTCAAGCCTGTACGTAGCATAACTCAGAATTCTGAATGGTTTTTCATTTTTTATCAAATATATAATGTAGGCGCTGTGGTATTTAAGGTGATGTGTAAATGCAGATTAGTTTTTCTCTTTGTTTTCCATTGTTACTCTGATCATCCTGCTTTAACAGACTTCTTTATCATACTGTGTTCAATGGAGAGTTAGAGTGCTGGCATAAGACTGTCTGTTATAGCTTCGCTCCACCAGGAATTAAAGCTTAAGGTCGATGCTCTTTGATTAACATGCATGAAATACAGAGAAAATGAATGAGAGGATGCAAAGGCAGAGCACAAAACACAAAATGTAAGAAATGGATGAAAACAATAACTCTTGTCTGAGGTTCCCTGCACTGGCTGCCAGTGGATTTTAGAGTACAAACTTACATACTGGCATTTATCCTTAAGGCCTTAAACAGTCCAGCTCCCCAGCTACATCACATATACTACACTATGTGTCTGTTCCATTCTGGGGGACTGTGCTATGTGTTCCGCCGCTCCAAGAAGGTGGAATCAGCTTCTAGCCCATATTGGATTTTATAGCTCTGTTAGCAACCTTACTATAATTTTTTGGTCCAGGTAAGTTTTTTTTTCTTTTTCTCTATCTTGAAATGATGAGTCATGAAAGGCACTCTATGAAATAAAGAGATAAGATTGTTAAAGCTGTCTTGTTTTGAAAGCCCGTTTGAGGTTCATGGTTGAAAGTGCGGGTGCTCTGATGTCTGTTCACTGTGTGGCTGTAGATTCTTCAGGAGATGATGGAGGAAATTGACTATGATCACGATGGCACAGTGTCGCTGAAGGAATGGACACAAGGAGGAATGACAACCATCCCACTGCTTGTGCTACTTGGGCTCGAAACAGTGAGTTTTTATACTTATTAAATACTTCCGCCTAAAACTTTGAAATTGTATATAAGCAGCTATTTGATAGACGTCTGCTATCATGCTTACAAACATAAGAGTGTATTATCAAATATCCTAGAAAAGGAAGTGCCTGTGTTAATGTACAGAACAGTGGCTGCCAATGGATTAAATCTGCAAGTGTATTATCCTGGACGTTAGATGTTCATTTAACAGGAACATGAGCATGACATTTATGCCATCTAACGTGTGTCGTTTCACCTGCCCAGTGCTGTGTTTCTAGGGCCAACGAGCCAAAATAATTCAGATGGGTGAATTCAAGTTGCAATTTGACTTCGCCCCAAACACACCTACTGTAAATCAAAACTCTACTATTATTCCTAAATCTTTTAGCATCACTTCAGACTTCAGACATTCCATTCCAGTGGGTATCATTTTCTTTAGAACAAGCTGTTTACCCAAAAACAGAGCAAGTCTGAACTTTGTGAAAAACGTGCTCTAATTAATAAGCAGCCACAACTTAGGAATTGTGGAGTCAGCATAAAAAAAACACAGTTAAGGACTAATAGGAGTGCTCAGTGCTGGTACTGTATGCATTACTTACACCATACAGTACTTCTGGTCAGGCTATCCCATTTGGATTTTTATTGGAAACTGACAGACCTAAAGGTGTATTTTTACTTTTTGTTTCGTGAAGTACAGTGCTACATATTCTTGAGGTTTGATTTCTGAATATGTCGGAGTTACATTTTTATCCGTTTGGTGTGAAGAATTATTGGTATCAACAATACATATTAAGCCACTAGGTGGAGTAATTGTCTTACAAACATTTTCATGGTCTACATTTTATAGCTCTTTTAGACTTGACAGTTGCACTTCTAGAAAAACATTTTGCACTGCAGGTAGTATCTAATATTGTTAAAGCTGCAAAGTTTTATTTTGTTAGCATTGTAATTTATTTTATAAATGATACAACCATTGCTAGACTGGAGATTACTTTTTAATATTTCCCCTTGCAAAGAAGAATATTCTTCAGTTAAATCATCAGTACTGGCAAACCTCCATCCCTCCATTATCAGAAAGCTGCTTGTTTCAGGTGAGAATCACAGCCCTCCCAACCTAATACCAGGTGTGAGGTTGCATGCAAGAATGACAAATCAGATCATATTAGAAAACTGCGTCAGTAGTGACTTTGGCAGGAAGGGAGTTTCAGGAAACTCACCAGAAAATCTTCACTGCGTAAAACAGTGTGAGACAGTTTATAGTCTGCAGTTCTGAATGACACACCAGCATGTGTCAGATTTCATTAAAGTTCTTTACGTTTTGTGCACCAGAAAGCAGACACAGGAGATCTACAATATAATATATGAAATATTAAGTGCATTTGAATGACAATATAAAAGACAATTATTCATTAGAAATGTTGGTCCTTCACTTCAAAGGGATTTATGTACTTAACAATGTTTTAATATTGTCTAGGTGAAAGAATTATTGGCAAGAGCAGCCATGAGATGCTTTGGATCCTAATGTATTTGTTTTAATAAATACAGATCTCAAAATACTGGGCTTGAAGGGTTTTTGAAATTACATTTCAACTTAAGTCTTCATCATTTCAATAAATCTTCAGGCACTGAGCTTACAAATTAAATGGGACTGTAGCCTTTCAGTTAGGAAAACTGACCAGTCTAGCGGTATATTAATTTTCAAGCATGTGATAATTACCTTCAGGCACTAGAGACTCTACAATGTTTCATAATGAGCAACCATGTTGTCAGGATTGCTTTCTACTGTATGTATCTTGATGATATTGTTCATATTTTTCATATGGTATGATTTTCACATCATTGTTCATATTGGAGGATTATTCAAATCACTTGCCACTAGGTGGAGTGATTTCACTACTAACATGTGCAAAGCTTTTATCATATTGCTTCACACACTCCATAGCAGGGATCCCTCATCCTGGTCCTGGGGGGTCATTGGTTCAGGAGCCTATCTGAGTCTCTTTGAAGCACCTTAAGAGCTGGGCGAAGCTGTTAAACTGTCTCAGTTCAACCAAATGAGAGCTGATTCGGGTTGTTATGAGCCCAGTTGGTTGTGAATACACCAGCCCTCTAGGACCAGGACTGGAGAATATAAGAAAGTTTGCAAACGAGAAGAAGCCATTCAGCCCTTCAAGTCCATTTGGTAGTTAGTAGTTAGTAGCCAGCCTATCCAAGGATCTCATCTAGTTGTTTTTTTAAATGTCTTCTGTACTTGTTCCATACCCCTTCAACTGTTTAGGTGAGGAAGTGCCTCCTTTGTAAAATAAGATCACTTTGTTGGCCATATACAATTTCTTGCATTAGGAATTTGTCTTTTCGCACACCCCAGCTTGCTCTCCATGAGACACACAGACAGGGAGAGACGCTTGGGGTCAGAGCGCAGGGTCAGCCATTGTACAGCGCTCCTGGAGCAGCTGGGGTTAAGGGCCTTGCTCAGGGACCCAACAGAATAGGATTCCTCTGCTGGCCACGGGATTTGAACTGGCAACCTTGCAGGAGCAGATCCTTAGCCAGCCCCTCTGCCCATAGGTATTAGTTATTTTTACCTAATATAGCTTTGACACCCACAAAGGGGTGACCATTGCTCTTTCTTACAGATGATGTAAAATATTGTATAATATAATTTTAACAGTTCTGTCTTGGCGACACAGACGGCCACAGAAAAGCCATGCAGTAAGTTAGTAAAAATATTTTCATGGGCAACATGTGGGTGAGTCACAGCTGCTGAGTCCTGGCTTCCATCAGGGACTCTGAGTGGGGTCCCCGTTTCTGAATTCTTCAAGAATTCTTCCTGTTTCCGTGTTCCAGAAAACCATGGGTTTTCCAGGTGTTTCCTGTGTATTCCCGCATTCCCAAAACATGCTTGCTAGGATAACTGGTGTCACCGTATTGCCTCTGAATGCATGTTGGTGCCCTGCGACAGACTGACTTCCCATCCAGGATGTGGTACCGCCTTGCTCGCCATGCTTCTGGGATAGGCTGCGGGATAACCTGTACCTGGAATAAGAACCATTCTGATACATATGAAAGTACTTGTGAGAATACGGTATCATTTAAATAGGTTAATTTGCGTGTCAGCATGGAGATGGTTAAATTAAGTATAGTTCTGCAATCTGAACACAGAAAATAAACACAGCAATGGTTTTCGAATTTTGACAGAAGCCTACTCGTTAAGATCATGTCGTTTTTCTCTTAGAATCTGGGTGTCAAGGGTAATAATCTGTGTGCGTTTTCTGTTTTGACAGTCTTATCCTAACAGAGTTTAGAAAACAGCATTCAGCAGTGCAGCAGACGTCCCACCATAATAATGTCCTCCCCTGTTTAAAGATGTTCTCTGGGTTCATGATGTCAAATCTTCACAGACCTCCATCGCCCCTTGACTCACTGTACTTGGGGGTCTCTGGGTGTCCAGAAGCAGATAGGCCAGCAGTAGGATATTTACTGTAGAATACTGTAATTTCTCGCATATCAATGAAAGGATATTGGGGTATGGAGTGATGTCTGAACCCAAGAGAAATCTTTCTGCCTGGCCCATTTACTCTATACAATCAGCACTCCTTTGATCCACAGTTTCTTTTTCCAAAGAAAACCGCATGGGAAGAGGAGAAGCTGCTGTATGTTGTGCTTTGTTAAAATGCTTTTTTCATCTGTTGCTAAAGGACGCAGTAAAAACAAATCAGTATCCCATAACGTGTAGAGATATCCCTCAGTCTGTCACTAGAGGGCAGCAGAGCTCTGACGTTTCTGCGCCACTACCTCAAATTCTCTGCCAGTGCCCTGCTGCTAAAAATGAAATTCTCCTTCCTAGACTATTTTTGTACATTTCTTGGTTTAAATTTATTTATAATATACCAGTTTTGACATTAATTCACGCTATGATTTTCGAGAAAACGATCTTGCTTGGGGTTTAGTTATACAGTATTGTGCCACTAGAGGTCACTCTAGGAATTGTCTTTTAGTATTTGCTTGCAGGTGTGAAGGATAGCGAAATTAAGAGTGTGATTGTGTTATAAACACTGTCAAATAAAAATATTTGTACTGTACACCCTTAAATTCCATTCATAACTGTTTTCGGTCTCACACACACACACACACACACCCACACACTACATAAGGCAAAAGGGATCACATATCCCAGAAATACAGCATTCATATATCATGGATTTTTTTTCAAATTGCAAGCAGTTTTAAAGTAATAAAAAGGTGAGGTTTATGGTTCTGTGCCGGTGTTGTATCCGGTTCAGAAATCTGCATCACCCTCCAAATGCACATGCATTTCACAATACTTTCCAGGATGCCTCATGATGCAGGGGCTGTGTACTGTATGTGTTTCAGCCATATGGACAAAAAAGGAGCTCATTGTTTGTGGATGTCTCTATCGGTTTTTAAGGTTTTAAAAACTTAAGCTGAAGGTTATGTGCCTTGTCCTTATGCCATTTTCTAACCGCTTCATCTGTTTCAGGATCATGAGGAAGTTGGAGCCTATCCTGGCAAGTAATGGGCACCAGGCAGGGTACACCCTGGACAGGACACCAGTCCATCAGAATGCAGACAGACACAAACCACATTCTGTACACACACTCTCACACTCTCAATTGTCCCAGAAGCCAACTGACCTACCAGTATGTTTTTGAACAGTGGGAGGAAAGCAGAGCACCTGGAGCAAACCCACACGAACACGGGCAGAACATGCAAACTCCACTCAGATAGCACCTCAGGTTCAGAACTGAACCCAGGGACCCAGGGCTGCGAGGCAGCAATGCTGACCAATGCACCACTCTGCCACCCTTTTGTCCTTATGTGTTACATATAAATCATTTTATACTTGGAGGATGACATAAATCCTGCCTCCCTGAGAGTGTAAGGGGGAAAGATTTTAACAGCATGTGAGCATTTCGGAAGGGGATACAGATTTCCAGGAGATACTGAATTAGATATGACACCTGTATTGTGAAAGAATCTGACAGAAGAATTGGCCATGTGTGGGTGGCTTAAAAGCTTTTTGGCTGTGATAAAACAGGGGGCAGACCATTTTACATGGAACTTAAATGTAGAAATAATAACTGGAAAAGGATATACCTGCCACTTTTCAAAGTATGAGCAGAACGGTATACATTTGTACAATTCAATTCCCAATCTGTTCCATTACTAGAGTATTACAGCCCACATGTGATTTATCATCAAAACATCAATGCACTCAAAAATATGGTGCTTCATTCCTGCAAGTTGTTTAACTTGTCGGTGCAAACGCTGCACGTTCCATTGTGAAAGTCTTTATGAAAATAAGAACACCTCTGATTGTCTCAGCGAGATGAGGAAATTGTGATAGCTCTGCCCATATATTCCCATGTAAAGTTTTAGGATGCTTCACTTTCCTGTCAGGTGTAATTCAAAATGTAATTAGTGTATCTTATTAAAAACAACTTTTTTACTTTTAGAACGTAAAGGATGATGGGCAACACATTTGGAGACTGAAGCATTTCAACAAGCCTGCCTACTGCAACCTGTGTTTGAACATGCTGATTGGACTGGGAAAGCAAGGGCTCTGCTGTTCATGTAAGTATCATATGCCTTAGATCTCACAAAAAAAAAATCAGATTACTCGTGTTTTATATTAATGTACTCAGTCCCTTTGGAATATTTTCTCATAGTAAATATATTTGATGTCAGCTGATATTAATTCATGGATTTGATGATCATCATGTTCCCCACACCTAGGCTCTTAAATTTGTACAGTACAGTATATACAGTATAAATCTATTAACCTTTCAAGCTTTATCTACCACTCTGTGTCTGCCCTGTGTCTCTCTGTCTGCCTGTGATGGACTGGTATCCTGTCCAGGGTGTACATGGCCTTGTGCCCTGTGATGGACTGGTGTCCTGTCCAGGGTGTACCCTGCCTGTGCCCTGTGATGGACTGGCGTCCTGTCCAGGGTGTACACAGCCTTGTGCCCATTTCTTGCTGGGATGGGCTCTGTCTCCCCTGTGACCATGAATTGGAGGAAGTGGTCAGATAACAGATGGATAAACATTCATGCACACTACTGTATCTGTTTACTACCAATCAGTTTAAAGTCTACTTTTTTTACGCAAAACTGTCATGTGCCAATTTTACTCAGGAACTACCAAATATTGTGTAGGTGATTTGATAGTTGTTTCATAAAGTTCCAATGAGGTTTTACTGATGCATGGTGTGTGATACCAAGTGATACTGTACATTTCAAAAGGCCCTGGGCTGATTCTTCATCTGTTTTTGGAAAAAATATTTTTTCGTACGAGCTACAGGACCAAAAGCATTGAGACAATAGTTGTCTACTTTCACAACACATCTGCATTAATTTATAATCTTGAAACAGTGCTCACATAGATTCTGAATATTTAAAAGTACTTCTCTGAGCTGTTTTAGCGACACTTAACATCACATTGCCAAAGACATTGGAAAAAAAATGCATTTATAAATGCAACAGCAGCAAGAGACCAGCAGGAAATGACAAAAAACACAAATTAGGAAGAATTCAGTATTTGATTGAATGAACAAGTGGAAGACGCTTTTAATTGCCAGACTGGGCTTACCTGCGAACTTGACTTTTGAGAAGCAGATGTTGTATGGATTGCAGAGTCAGAAAAGCCCTCGAGCAGAGTACTTTATAGCACATAATGAGACCCTGATCTGCTCCATCCAGCATTAAGAATTCACTCAGTGCCATCACGTACAGTGACACAGTTGATCTCAAGTCATCAAGGGTGTATATATCCTTTTAACCAAGAATGAAACACATTATACTTTTTAAAGGTTATTGAATATATGTACAGATATTCACTCACAAGTGTTTACTTAGCTTGGTATTAAGTGCATTTAATAATTGATTTCTTTAACCTTTGCTGGAATCAAAGAGCTCTTCCATTTTGGTTATACAGTATATACTGTATGTGTCTCTGACCCTTCATCTTCCAGAGGACCCCTGTGTTAGTCTATTCCCTATCTAGGGGCGGTCTTTGTCTATAAGCACCATTCTCATGAAGTAAAAAATTATGAGCTTTCCTAACTCATTCCCACCCCCCTATCTTTCGCTATTACATTACCAATATAAGCTTGGACAATGACCAGTAGATATGGAATGTTCTCAGGTGTACTCAAATTTAATATGCGTTACTATATAAAAATAATTTTTGTTTTCCAGTTTGCAAGTACACAGTTCATGAACGGTGTGTAGCCAGGGCTCCTCCATCCTGTATCAAAACTTACGTCAAGTCCAAAAAGAACGCTGAAGTAAGTCAGATTCAAGTGTTGAGAAAAATGCATGCATCTCAGCAGCTTTGTGCCACGGAGCTTTATTTGAAAGCCCCTTTCACAGCTAATGGAATTAACGCAAAATGTTAATATTTAGCACAGCTAATTGAAAGATTAGCAAGGTTTAAACAGCAGACAGCAAGGCTGTGAAAAGGGTATGCATAACATATTTTTTTCTCATATGTGACTGTATACAGGTGATGCATCATTTTTGGGTGGAAGGAAATTGCCCAACAAAATGTGACAAATGTCATAAAAACATCAAATGTTACCAGGGCCTCACTGGACTTCACTGTGTTTGGTGCCAAATTACCGTAAGTAAACCTCAGAGAAATGAAGCGGAGAATTCAGCCTCTTTAAATATCCTACTAAGACTATTCTAATGAGTACATTTTGAATACAATGTTATTTAATTCACATTGTAATAGTTACAAATTGTAAGTGAGATTAATGCATTGACTCTCTTACAGTCAGGTCCCGCTCATATAATGAAAGAAGTAAAATACCCATTTAATTGCTTTTATTGGAACATATTAGAACATATTATTAGAACACAAGAGAGGTTAAAATTGAGAGGAAGCCAGCTGACAACTTTCACTTTCATGTCCTTTATTCTTTCAAATAATAGAATGCATGAGTTTTTCAGTTTTCTGAAAATAAGTTTAAGATCTCACAGCAATTACTGTATGTGTCTGCAAGTGCATAAAATATAAGACAATATAAGCCCTGTTCAGGAGCTTTTTGGCTAGTAAGATGTCTTCTGACAGGTTGAAATGATTGTAACAGAATTTCATTTAAACTGTTGGTCAATTCATGCATAGCTTTCAAAGTACTAATTTTAAAATGCTAATTGTCAGAATTGTTCTCCTCCCATAAATATGCAATGAACTGTACTGCAATGCCAGTTAAGTGAACTGTTGCATTTGGTACTGATGTCACAACATAATCAACTACTTCCTGAGATACAAAACTATAGAATTCATGGACTTTATGAATTTAAATAATTAATAATATGCCAAAAAACACTCTCCCTGCTTCCAAGTTGCACTATAATTCAAACGTGAAAAAACACGCTATATTTTATAATTAGGTATTTTCATTTTGCTTTTTGTTTTCATTTTTATTCCATTATTTTTTTCTGTGCAGCTTCTGTTACTTTTTTCCTGACATGTTAAAACATAAGAAAGGCTAGAAACAAAAGAGGCTAACAAAACAGTAACTATTTCTCCATCTACCCCAACTAAAATCAGCAAAAACTGCTTTTTTGAAAGGTCTCACACCTTGGACTGTGTTTTTGCACTCTTCATTGAAATACTGTAGGTTTCACAATGTGTTTCACTAAAACTGATGAGATACAATCAAATGGAATAATAACTGTATTAAAAGGCTACTTTTTTTTCTTCAGCAACCTCTGATCGTTTTGATGGAAAATCTTAAATATAAAATACACTTTAACAGAATATCTAGAGATCAGGTAAATGTGTTATAAATCAAAAAGAGTATAATATTATCAGATATTTTTTTGAAGAAATAGATAACTTTATTTTCTTATTCTTCACAAAAACTGGTTCAGTTTGACAAGAGACCTCAGAGATTAATAAGAAGATTAAGCAATTTTTCATAGACAAGCATGCGTGTCACAGAGAAGCAGTGCTGCTAATTATCACTGAATTTCAAGCACTTATTGAGATACATTTATTTAATGTTATGTGGCCTGGTGTGCATTAATTATTGTACAAGTAGCCTCACTGCTGGAGATGAGAATTAGCATGACGAACGCGACAGATTACCATGTTGTTAAATTATCCTTCAGTTAAGCTTTGATACCAGCTAAATCAGCCCCTGTAAGATTTTAATTTTTATGCCTTAGACACCTTTCTCTCAGTAAACAGAGACAGGATTTACAATTTGCTTTCTGCTGTTTAGAATTATAACAAAGAGGTTTATGATTGCATTTTAAGTGCCATATGCTTAACTTTTAGAATGTCCATGTTAGCAGACTGTCAACCCAAAACATTTTTAAGAAATCGAAGCATCTTCAAGATAAATAATGAAGAAGGCTAATAAGATAAGGATTTTACTCTCCTAGTTTCTGAACAGAAGAGCAATGTGATGCTGAGACCAGGGATCCTTCATTAGCTAACTGGAACCAATCAGGACTAATTAATTAGCTACGTAAATGGTAAAAATGAACCCCTGTCATGGAATTTTGCAGAACAGTCACTAGCCCTCTGAATGGCCAGCGATTGTAAATGAAAATAGAAGAAAATATAAGAGCAAAGTAGTAAACACGACACAGCTTATAACCATTTCCTATTTGCTTCTGTTCAGTCTTAATATATGTAAAATTAATAATCAATAATTGTTATCACTTTAAATAAGAAATTCGATTTGAATTCCAATCTTTGAGCATTAGATTTAATGATGGCTACCACAACATATCTGTGATTTAATCTAGGTATTGTGTTTAATGTTATTTATATTGCATACAATGTACCTACTGTATAATGTATCAAATTGTTTTTTATTTACTGTATTAGCTTCACAACAAGTGTGCATCACACATGAAACCTGAATGTGACTGTGGGGTGCTGAAAGACCACATCTTGCCTCCTACGACGATCTGTCCAGTAGTGCTGGTGAGTTTGTCTATCTCTGCTTTTTGTACTGTAACAAACACAGAGAAAGTAGTAGATACTGTAGTAAGAAAATTGTAACAAAATATTGCCAGTTTTGCTGCTGATATTGATTTGTTCTTTTATGAATCTTGGTGTTTATGGTATATTTCAATTACATCATATTCCATGTATGTATAGTATACTGTATTTAATTTTGAGAAAAATTCAAAATCATGCAATACAGTATGTGTAACGTATAAAATTACCCCTTATATTAAGCATCACCTGTCCTTTATATCTGGACAATGAAAATTAACTCTGCCCCATAGTAACATACAGTAGTAACAAAAATGACTTACAGTCATTTAGTTATTTTTCCAACCATTGTCCGATTATGGAGAGATTGTAGCAATGGACAGGTAAGAGTTAGAAGAGAAGCAAAGAAAACAGGGTTTCATTCTAATTGTTTCTTCCTGTGCTTTTATCTGGCAAAGCAAAATGTGAGAGAAGCTGAAAGTTTTGCAAATTGCTAAATGCAAACACACCTAAAAAAAAACCCAATCATTCTGAGATTAAAGGGATAGAACAACTGGGCTGTGTCAATTCGATTTCTTTCAAAAATCCATTTTTTAAAATGAACATTTTTTTTTACCATGCAATGTAAAATTAGAGGTGCGGTTTCATCTATTATTTCTCCCACAATGTGGCTCAGAGTGGACAAAGTATATCAAATAATAATAAGAACAAGATTATTTGGATTAAGTTAAATTAGGATAATCCAAATTAGTGAAACTGCAGGCATGAACCTTAACAAATGAGCATTCTCAGCAACAAATAAATTAGGCGAATGGTAACAGATACTGAACGTACTATGAACCCCCACAGAAACTAACAGCGATAATTCATCAACTTCTGTTCTTTGTATGTTCTGTTAGTTGTGTTGGCTGTTCCTCCCGAGGTAAATTTAAGTTTAAAAACATTCATATTTTACTAATGCTTATTTCTCTTCTGTCCTCATGGTTTTGACAACGAACACAGACAAACTTCCTGTAAACACAATACACATAAACATAGTAAACCTCTCACAACCTGTATGTTCTAAAATTAATTTCAGATCAGTGCTCTATCTTTTTGTCATTGCGATTTTCTGCATCCATTATGGTTTACATGCAAAGCAAAAAAGGCATTACGCAAAGCAATCTAAAAGAGTAGGTCACGCTGTAATTGAATGTCGGTACTAAATGGCTTCATAATCCCTCCATAACTGCTATAGAAGACACGTGTATAATACTTTACAGGGACGCCTGCAAATGACAACAAGGTCATTTTGAGTGCTTGGCACGATGCATGTGACATTCACTCTGTGTCATGAGGTTGGCACATGTTATGTCATTTGCTCATGTCGCTGTACATTATGCATGTGATTATAACATTGTGTATAGCAGTTATGAAGGGATTATGAAGCCATTATGAAGCAACATGTAAATGAAGTGCTACTGAAGAGTTCTTGAGAATTTCACACGGTATACAGGTTGTTGGACAGGTCCTGATATCTGTCTGCAAAATTATTGGTTATCCATATTAGATTCAGTACTTTTAAAAAAACTTAATGAAATAACTTTGTCAGGCTATACAAAAGCCAAAGTTCATGCAATGTATGGGTAGTAAGCATAAGAGTCCACTTTCTAAAATAAATGTCTAAAGCTTCTTTCTAAAATACTTGTGTAGGGTTATATTATATATATATACAGTAAAGTCTAAAACTGCAATGGTCAGAGACACATTGGTAGGTTTTTCAGACAATGATGGCCAAGCTATTTTAAGAGCTCGTGAGCTGAAGTGAATTAGCACATTCTTTATAAAGGCAAATTTACAGATCATCAAGGACATGTGTGGTGTAAAAGTTGAATATATATGCTGGCACCTTTTAACTTGTAAGGTAGATGCCCTGCATAATATATGTAAAATCTTTTCAGAACCTGTTAAATCTTTGTAAAAAATGTACCTGTTAAAACACTCATTGTAACCTATAAAACACAGCCCTAAGAATATTTTACAACTGGTGTGAAAAAAGTTATATACTGTCAGCTGGAACACTAACCAGCAGAGAAAACAAAGTTATCTTTGTGACAATGCAATTTACACTAGGTGTCTGTCTGAGGAGATACAATGGGCGGCTCTGATACTTTCAAAAGGGAAAAATGTTGTTGATTTTGTTGCTGGTGCTACACATATCCCATGATTCCAAAAAATGTCACCAGACTTACAGTATCACTTGAGAAGATGATTCAACCAAAGAAAAATGTCTGATCCCCCAAAGTCCAGTTCTGTACATCAATTTGTTTTTATTTTTTTGTAATATCATCTTGGTTTTGTACTGTACATACATTTAACACAATATACAGTATGTGGCTGCATATTTAGTGTTTCTAAATTCTGTGTGAAACTCAGAATTTTCAGACTAGATTCCTAAATGAGTAAGTGGAGTAGAGACCCTAGATATGATATGATACTACCGTATATGCAGACTAAATAAAATGCATTACAAACTTTAGTTTCTCATGATTAAATGACACACATAAATGTATTTGTACCAAAGTAAAGAAAATGACAAATGTTGCTGTTGAGAACTTCACACAGAGCTTTGGATTTGGAGTGGAAACATACTGTAGTGTATACTGTATATAGTATTCATGAATATCAAATATATATACTGTATATAAGTACTGTAGCAACATGAACAGTATTTTCATTTGAATGTTGTTTGGGATGAGGTCAAATTCTGATGTCACCCACTTTCCATCTCCTACTTCTCATCTTCCAAGCACCCCTTTGTGAACCTCCCTTGCATCCATCCCCGCACCCCAACTTCACTCTTAGAGCAGCTCCCTGGCTCATTCCGTGTGAAGGGGGCTCCTCTGCCAGAAGAGTTCCACCGAGCAGAGCTTTCAACAAGTGTCCTCGTTTTGTAACTTGTCTCCTTGTCAGCCTGAAAGGTGTTATAACTTTCTTCCAGGAAAGGCAGGCGACTTTGAAAAGAGACGGTGTTTCGGGGCAGACGAAGAGATCAGGGGACAGAGCAAAGATGCAAAGAGCCAATTCTGTTACTGTGGACGGTCAAGGGCTTCAGGTGCGTTTCATGGCTTCATGTTTTTGCATCAGCTGCAATATCTTATTGAAATTAAGACAGAAGCAAGAGCAAAACAAAAACATATTTCTAGTGCTGCAAACAGGGTACAGTATATGACAGCTTTGCGTTATTATGATTTTACTTTCAAAAGATCCTATATATACACTATATACAGTTCTATGTAATTTTTCTTAATGAAATGTTATATATATATATTATAGCCCCTAACAGTGGGTTGGTCCAGCTACTGATTTCTGCTGCAAGAATTCCATCAGGTGTCTGTGGTGACGTGATCTTCTTACAAGATGTGACAGTTTCCATCTGTCTCTTTGGTTCAGTATTGTACTGAAGCTTGGAATTTCTCCTTCCCATTTATAGTGGTATTTTTTTACTTGTCAGCCTTTGTCTGTACACCCATGAGGACATCTGAATTGATACATTAACCATGTCTTCTGTTCTCCTTATCAATGTGCTCCAGTCCCATGTGTCTCTTTGCAGTTTTCAGGAATTATAATAATAATAAACTTTATTTTATATAGTGCCTTTAAAGGTGGCTTCTCAAAGCACTTTACAGAATGCCAACAACAATAAATAAAAAGAATACACAAGATAAAACACAATTACAATACACAGAGGAGACTGTGGATGGTGGTACTAAGTAAAGTAGGAGCAGAGGGGTAAAGAATGGAACCAGTTAACTAAAAGCTCTGAGTTAAGTAAAGGTTTTGAGTCTGGATTTGAAGGAGTTTAGAGAAGGTGACTCTCTGATATCCTTGGGGAGAGAGTTCCAGAGCTTGGGGGCATAACAGGAGAAGGCTCTGTCACCCCTAGAGTGTAGACGGGCTTGGGGGACAGTAAGGAGACCAGAATTAGAGGAGTGAAGGTTGCGAGGTGGGGAGTAGGGCGATAATAGTTCAGAGAGGTACCGTGGTGCCAAACCATGCAGAGCCTTATAGGCGAGCATGAAGATTTTGGAATTTGACAGGAAGCCAGAGCAAGGACTCCAGGATAGGAGTAATGTGATCACTTGCACTAGACCTGGTCAGGATTCTGGCTGCTGAATTTTGGACATACCGCAGTTGGGCCAATGTAGATCTAGATACCCCAGAGAGTAGAGCATTACAGTAGTCAATTTGGGAAAACACAAATGTGCTGATCAGCTTTTCAGCCATAGTTAGTGATAACATAGGATAATATTATGGGGGACTGCTTATGACAGTCCAGTGGAACATTGCATTCCCTAATTACAATTTATGTACACAACTATCTATGAAGTACATAAAACAATATTGATATTACAATGGGTGCTTTTAATTCTGAGCTTGCCAGTTTACCTGATCAAAAAAGCTGAAAATAAATTATCCCAAAACGTCAATATCTGTGTGTCTTAAAATTAGTAGGTACTTTATTTCAGGCTCCGTTTCAAGTGGTTTCTTCTAAATGTGAGATATGCAGTAAGTGACTATTCAAACTTTCCTTTATCAAAACATTTTAACAGGGTTTGTGAGACTCAAATTCAGGTAATCCAAACCTTTTTCGGCTTTTCATTCTTGTTTTCAACATACTGTACAATCAAAATATTAATGACCCCATCTGCTATGGGAGATATTGATGTGAAACCTGGAAGGGGCATATGTATTCTGTCCAGTATTCACCATGGAAAACTATCAGAAAAACTGAAGATAATAATCATAATGACAATTACAGTAATAAGGAGTTCACATGAATTGAAACAGGCTAACTTGATGACAAAAGTGATCCACATGGCTCAGAGAAGACGATTAATCATATTTAATAACATTCATCTCTGTTCTTTCTTGCTAACCAGCATAATAATCAGGATTATTATTTATAATTAGAGGAAGTAATAGATCACTCATAACCTTTGGATGAGGCTCATTAATTTACCTAGGTCTACCGGGACATTGGACTAAGGTAGTTAAGTGCTTTATCTTTGTCATTTGCAGAATCATCAGTGCACACTGAGCTCACAGAAAGCAGAAAGTGAATAAACATTTTCACAAATGAAGGCTACTTGTGTTTCATTAGTTTCTGAAGTATTATAGTTGTTATGGTGACAGGGTGCATAAACTCCAATGCAGACATGTACCTTGCATACCAATCTTCTTCTGTTTGTCAGAAAAAGAGCAGTTCACTCCAGTGTTAACAGCTGAGTACCATGTGTTTTCCAGGAAGGTTGCTCTAAGGCTGTGGGCAGCACAAGTATTTAAATTCAAACCTGTTTCTTTTAAGGCATCTTAAATTTATTCATTGCACGCCTTCCTTTACAGTGCTTTGTCACCGTCATTGGACAATTTTACCCTACATGAAAATGTTAGGCATACATACAGTATAATTATGTTCTTCATGTTAGTCTGTTTTTTTTCACTAATTGGTGAAAGTTGCCTTCATTTGATTCTGTTTCCTACTGTATCAAATCTGAACATGATCAGGTTATCCATTTCCATTTATGTCCTTATTAATCCAAGCAGAGTTTTTTTCCTTGTTACCTGAAAGGCCGCGTGACACACTTGGCCAAAAGTTTTCCGTGTCTCCTTGTCACTTTTATGAAACGCTGTGTTCTGGGGCACAGTTCTGAACAATTTCTAAACATGTAAATGTCACCTGCATGTTGAAAGACAAATGTCTACTATTTTTTACTTTCCATGAAGCTGTTCACTAGAGTGTTAAATAATGGACAGACAGCATTATCATTAATGATAAATGTGTATTTATTACCTTGAACAATCATTTTCTTAACCAAGGCATTTTCTGTAAAACAGCTTTTTTCATTGCTTGAAAAGAGGTCATCAAACTTTTAAGAACAAATATACTGAGCAAAACAAAAGAGATTGGAAGAGTTTTATTTATATATTTATAAACATTTATATTTATTTTTCTATTGTCATTGCATTGTATTCATATTGCTGTTTTTTTTTTAGATCACTACAATAGCTGGAACCCATCCTCTCCTTGTCTTTGTGAATCCTAAAAGTGGAGGAAAGCAAGGAGAAAGGTAATCCAACTGCTCTTAAAATGAGCCTGTATTACAGTAAGCATATTATTAACTAAAGTTGAGATACTTTTTCTCTGATTATTTCTGCAGTAGTTTGTTAACATTTTGAAGAACAGTACAGAGCTTATTATTTGTCCTTGCAAGATGAATGTAGAATATGTGGAAGACACGCATCCTTGCGTCAAATATCTTTAATCGATAAGTTTGCCTGGAAGAACTGGACAACAGCAATGTTACGATAGACCACTGCCTCTTGACACATCCTTGTTGATGTCATCCCTCTGCTGCTCTGTGAATTCAGACCTGTTTCTACTCCTTGAACTAATAGGGTTATTACTTAGGAATATTCATTTTCCCCCTTTATTACTCCGGTTTCATTTTTTAAAATTATGTGATCAAAATATGACTTGGCCCAGTTGTTATAATGAAATAGAAATTAGAATGAATTAGTCTTACTAATGACTTACCCTCAGGGCATTCTCCTGATGACCTAACCACTGTTAAAGCTGGTGTGTGCTTAGCGTGTCTTTGTGCAAAGTGCTTTTCCGCTGCTTTCCAAAAGCTACATCACAGCATTGAAGAGAACCATAGTTTAACGGACTTGTATTAAACTTTGAAGGAAGCTGAATTATGCACCCCTGAATGCTGTTTTTAAAGCTGAAGATTTCTTCAGGAATTACTTTAAATAAATGCCTCCTTTCTAGAAAAGCTTTTAGCTTTGTAAAGTAGCCTCACAGGACAAACATGCTGACAACAAATTAAATCTGGATGTAAAGTTTGTCCGCATTTTGTCCGAATCTTCCCTACAAATTGTTGCTAAGCATATATGGATAAAAGAAAGGTCTAGATTATAGATTGTTTCTGTAGTACCCTAATTAACTGTGGAAATTAAGGAAAATACAGGTCACAATTGTATCATTCCATTAGATTTAAAAAAGCACAGAAATATTTCAACATATCCCAATTAGTTATATTTAATATTCAACATATACTAAATTATTTTTTCTACACATTTAGAAAAACACATTTAGAGGTGACATCATAAAATAATTCAAATATCTCGAAAAATGATTCCAATTTAACACAGTATGTTCTCCATATCTACTGCACCATATCCAAAGAAAGTTATCTAGGATATTTTGCTCATTGTTTTGTTAAAAGGTATGGCTACTGTTTTATTAAGACTGTGTACATGGTTTCTGACCGCAATCATTATATCAGTCTTTTTTACCTTGTTGCCAAGGTCACTGTTGGATCATAGTTCTAATTAATTTTGTTCTGTTTCTTAGGCTGCCTCTGTTTCTGCTGTTTTGTATACCTTTTATATCTGTGTAACATTTACTGCACATTATTAATTCAACTTTATACCATGATTTCTTTTTTATTTACAATCGTACTCTTGCGTTATTTCTGTTTTAAATTAAATCATCTTTAAAAGATCAAGTGTTCTTAATAAAGGTGGTCTTTTTAAAGCCATGGAATGTTGCAAAGTAAGTCTGATAGATAAAGATGATCATTGTTTATGTGACATAATAAAAATAAAAAAATATTTGTTGAGGTAAAACACTGAATACTTTCTTAAAATGCATTGATTCATCTTTGCAGTTTTTTGGTAAAGAATTTCATTGCTATTTAATTCCTAGATAGGTTTTTAAATATTAGATCTCAGTACTGTTTTCTGAACATATTTCTTTTTTTGTGTGTATTTTATGGAGGTTAGTAGCTTTACTTTTCCTGGTCTGGGCTTTTAAGTGGTTATTTATAGCAGGATTAAATGGATTATAGTAGCCCACATGTCAGTCAATCAGAACTGTCTTGACACCAACCACATTAAAGATGAGATAAAGCACCTTAATAGATTGCAATAGAAAATGATATACAGTGAATTTAATACATTTGTTTTTTATGCCATTATGTTTTCAGGATCTACAGAAAGTTTCAGTATCTCCTCAACCCTCGTCAAGTCTACAATCTTGCTAAAACTGGGCCTATGCCAGGGTAAGTTAAAAAACAAATGAGAAATGTTTCCTTTAAAAAAACAACATTTTGTTGCTACAGTATGCTTTAGGGGGACTTTCCCCCTTAAACAGAGTAAATGCTTCTCTTGCTTAGATTCTCATGTTGAGAAAAATCATTTAGAGAATCCTTATGTCCAAGAATTTGCCTTAGTAAGAGCGTCGAACTTTTCGTGCGCTAGAGAATGATAGATGTATTACAGATATCTTAATATAAACATCTCAAGTGAGAAAGGGCCTTTTTGGTCTACAGGGAAGGGCTTGTGAGTCTGGCAGGTGGAGTAAGTAAGAAATATAAATGACAGGGCAAGCTGAGCGATATCAGCTCAGCTTCAAGTGTGATGGCGCATACAAATGACAGCAAAATATTCCTACTGATATGCCAATATAGAAGTGCTCATCCGTGGCATGCATGAATAACTGTGAGGTGGAAGATGAACAGTTCATTTATGTGTGGGGAAAACAAATTGTTTTGTATTTTTGGGAGCATTTTTCAAGAAAGTGTAGAAACACAAATGCTGGCCTTGAAGGTATGTGCAGATAAAATTTGGTAATAAACATCATAAGGCATTTCACAACCGTATTGTTAAATAGACAATTAACTTATGTTAATCACTAAATGGAAAGTATTGACCACTTGAAATGCTATGTAACTCATGGCCAAAGAAATCAGTCACTTTAAGCATTTTGAATTTTTTATATTTAAATAAGCAGAGTACAAAAATCAGAGAGCCAAAAATGGTACTGCACAATTAAAATGAGATCACCTTTCAGCTAATGTAAAAACTTTTGCAAATTATAATAAAATATGATGATTTAAGCAAATGGTCAGATTCAGTGAAGGGACTAATGGGATAAAAATAACTAAACCATCTGTGCAGAAAAGCCACATTGTACATTAAATAGGACAAATGAACAACTTCCTGCTATGTATTTCCATTGATTGTATACACACTTTACCTTTTAATGTATGTTTACAAAATACAGTCTGGAGAGTTTTTAATTCAGTAGAGCAGTAGTTCTGAATCCTGATCTTGGAGTACTCCAGGTTTTTGGTCCTGTAGGATTGAGTACTGCATTAGAGTAACTACAAACCCAGATCATATAACCTAAAACAAATGAAATACAACACTTAGGTCTAATGAATTCAATAAACTAAACTAAAAAAAAAAAAAACACAAAAGTGAAGATCAAAGAATTCTGATATAGTTTCAGTAAGAAATGACTCATTGTCGAAATGAGACTCATTGCTAACTGTAATATGCTATGACATTTCCAACTACTAACACAATGATGGCAGCTTTGGCGCACAGACCTGATCAGCCTCCGTACAGGCTGCTGTGGGATAAGGATATTCCTTCCAGCTAGGAAAGACGGCTGGTTACAGTTGATCGCATCAGAGAGGTAGTCCCACAGACATTTTGTTGGGCTCAGGTCAGTAGGAAAATGTGGCCGTTGAGGACCTCGACATTGTTCTTTCACAGTCCTGCAGTTGATGTCACACTATGTGATCTCGTGTAGACAAGTCTGATGAATCTACACTTCCAGTGTGGATGGTAGGAATAGGAAAAACCGTTGGCTCAAGAACTTTGTCAGTATATCACTGAGCAGTAAGGCTGGCCTCAATCTTATTGTACCCATATGGTTATTTGTTAAAAGAGATTCCGCCCCACATTATCTTACTTCCACCACCTTGCTGGTTGGCTTGTTCCTGTCGAAGGCAAAGTAGCATTGGTTATTGACTGAAACACTCTACCGTGCTCAGGGAGCTGCAGGCTGAGTGCGGGGCGACTAACCCTGCCATACCCTCAGTGGAGCTCTGCAAATTTGAGAATTTCGGTCACAGTCGGACAGTGACGTGACTCAGACTCAAGCCTGCAATAACTGAAGGACAGGCATTTCTACAAAATCACATGACTCGAGCTCAGTATTTTGTTATCCCAAACAAGAGTACTGGTCAGACTATCAACAAATGTACTGTATAAGCTCCCTATTTAAATAGAAATAACATTATGTACTGTATGTTCCCCACGAAATATTGATGTAGAACCTGATTCTGTGTTTTCATTGTGTATCAGTATATTTTCTTACTAAGATGATGTTATTTTACTTCATAATGTTGAGGCTCTGGAAGCAACTGCATTATCTGTCCCAACTGACACGTGTCACAGTAAATAAAGGTCAAGCTGGCTACTTGTTGCATAATAGGCAGTGCACCTGGTCAGCTGACTGAACACACTACTGTATCAATATTCTTTAAGTGTATATGGCAAAGTTTAAATTAGCGCTACTGTTAGGGGACTTGTTAAAATCGCATACTGACATAATCCGTTCTCTTTAATGTTAATTAAGGACTGAGTTAGAATCGCAACAGTAAATTAAATGTGTTTTTTGAAGTACAGATTTCTCCGCATTTCCCTTTTAGTTCACAGTATTCTGGGGTTATGCCTGTCAAATCTTATGAATTCCCAAAGGAGAAAACTTGTGCAGCTCATTTACTTACCGCATGCCTGCCAGAGGCTTCCTCATTAGGTTACGGGGCTATTACTGCAGGGGAACGGAAGAACTTTGGTTGACCATTTCCTGTTCTGATCAAATTATCCTGTGACCATGCTCGTTTTATGGATGAATAATTGTCAAAAATTCAATTTTTCTTGTGTCTTTTTACAATGATAGAAACATTTGAACAACAAATGCAGCTGCCTTTCCCTGGCTAACCTTTGAAGGCTCTGATGCTAATTTACGAACAAAATGCAAACATACGGCAGGGCCTTTTGAAAAAATCCAACATATTTTGGATGTGTAAATTGTAAAATGGAACTAATTATGTTGGAGGGGAATCGATTTATAACGAGAAATTGTACAGTGATCTAATTATGTTGGAGAGATTCGATTTATAACGAGAAATTGTACAGTTCTACCATCTGCCAAACAAGAGGTTAGTAGGGGCCTGAACTCATGGCACAATGGGAATTTGCATTTCTGTCCAACTTTGTGCAACTTTAGCTGAATCTTTTTGTACTAGTGAAAAGGCGATACAAACCAAAGGGGCATCATTTCACCTATTTTACATTTCAGAGGTCTATAAGTGCTTCAGTGTGACCAGCACTAGTACTGTGCAGCTCCCTGGTGGATGAAATGTGTGTAATTCCTTTTATACGTGGTAAAGCACTTAAGGATCCTTCAGAATGAGCGAAAGAAAGAAAAATAAAGCGAGAAAGAGAACATAAATGCATAAAATGTTTTAATAATTGCATTATAATTCAATCACTAAGCATCTAATTAGTACACAAAAAGTTCAATTGAAAAGTCTAGAACCTTTTTTTATCTTTTCTTTTTGGGGGCATAAATACAAATTTCAACATTATTGTCCCAAAAAAGAAAAGATTAAAAAAAGTCTGTCGTGATTCTTCTTCTGCTGTTATGCTGGAGTGGTTAAAGACAGAGCCCAGAAAAGAGATGTGCAGTCTGTCTGTGTGCTCTAGAGTTCTTTTGCATTTTTCAACTGATTGTGATGCAGAGGGGGACGTTATAAACCCCAGAATTTTGCTTGATTTAACATGGAATGACTAATATGTAAATCTATATGAGGAATGTCTTCTGTTTCACAGATTAAATTTCTTCCGAGAGGTTCCAGATTTCCGAGTACTTGCGTGTGGGGGAGATGGAACTGTTGGATGGATTCTGGATTTCATAGGTGAGAAGCTTTTGTATTTTGAGAATTATAGTGTACCCTACAATGTACTGTACTTACTGTACATGTCCGTGTTATTGTGTTTTCTCATCATAAGTCTGTAACTCTTTAAATTGAACTGGGCATAGGGCTGTGTTCATGAAACTTTTAATTTATGTAATTTTCCTACTCCTGTGTTAAAATGGAAAAAAAAGACAAAACTAATTTTACAACATCAAATATAAGTGTTTTAATGTATTATATTACAGATTAAATTAGCATCCTCAAAGAATTATGTTGAAATTTTCAACTTGTCTGTGTTTCTTCTTAATTAAACACAACATAAGCTTGAGAAAACGTGAGGTGAAGTTTTCATGTCTGTTTTTTGGCCAAGGATTATTTTTTTGCAAGTCTCTGGAGATTTCATGAAATACTGATCTTATACTTATATGATGAAAGTAAGCCCTTAATTTATTCTTAATACCACCAAAGTTACACCTAGGAATGTATTTTACCTTAAACAATAACGTTATATGTTTGAAGTCAGTATTCTGTACTGTATGTATGGCTCCGGTGTTAGAATGGAGCAGAAAAATAATTTTGTTCAGACCAAATTAACTAAATAAATATTCATATTGAACATAATGTTCAGGAAAAAACATGGTGACACCCCAAAGCTAGGTAACATTAAACATTAAAACCTCTCATTACTATCTACACATTTAACAATCCACTTGTGAAATATGTTAATTGAGCAAGCATCCACTCCGCCTAGCTGTTTTGTAGGTTTAAAAACAGATCAGTGTGTTAAATCATTTTACTGATCACCTTCAGCTGCTTTTTTAACAGTTAGCAGTTCTGTGGGAGCTTCGTGTAGCTGTAATTTGTAAATGAGCAAAAGTCCTTAATGTTAGATGCTTACTGAGGATTTTTTTGTTGTTTATGACAAAACTGCTTTTTCTGTTTTTCACCTCTCTTCTCTCGGCATTAAAGGAACTGTCATTGCAGAATCTAGTAGATGAGCTCACCCAAATCTTCTACATTTCTCTGAACTCCAGGTTTCTCAGTAAAACCAGTTGAGCAGCTGCTTATTTTTATTAATATCAGAATCCTCAAATTTCCACAAAAACTTCCAAATGGGAGCTGGTGACATTTTATTGTGCCTTCCTTTTTTTACCACAAAGTTTTATTTCTGAAACTTGCTTCATATTCAACAGCAAAAAAAAAACACAAATGTATTAACATGTACAGTATATTATTATTCTGGGAACGTCTTTAATTTACCACAAAGAGGAAAATTAAAAATACATAACAACATATTACAATATAGATCAGGCACAGTGATTTTACAAGCTTTCCTTATTATGGGTATACACGTTTTGTAATTATACAGACAACTCATCAATATGATATGATATGAAATGATCCACTATATTTCTACATTTTGAGCTTGATTCTGTGGATATTCAAACTGCTTATCTTTTGCAGATAAAGCAAATCTCAATAAGAATCCTCCAGTGTGTATACTGCCTCTTGGGACAGGGAATGATCTGGCAAGATGTTTGCGATGGGGAGGAGGTAAGATCCACACATACTGTATATGTGTCTTCGTAGAAACACACTGAAACTCATGATGCCAATAACCCTGGTGTGGAAAGACACTGTATTATTTCAGATTGTCAGGGTTATTACTGGTTTACCACTGACTGCTAACTGGTGTTTTATGCTTTCCTGTATTCCTCTAAACAAGTTGGTCACATCTGGCGTCATTTCCGGATCTGATCACGTTCAGTCGGATTGTGTGTAGATATGGTATCTGTTTTCTTTTCTGTGCTGATGAAACCCCAAATTCTTGAGATTAAGCAAATACTACCTGGCTTGTTCTAAATTGTTCCAATCCAGCTCAGAATTCCTGATCTCATCTTTGACCTTGCAGTTTGCATCTTGAAGTTGACAATCACGATTCATGCTGTAATGAAGGTGTCTTAATTTTTGGCTTTGTAATACTGCTCATGTCTCTACTATTCTGATACAGAGAAGCAGATGTATGCAGTAGTCGTTTATGGCCTTTATTATATATAGCTCATGCTGGGGGATGCTCTAAAATACATCAAATAAAATACACAATCTCTCGTGTTTTGGCTTTCTTGAACTGGTTCCCTGTGCATAACAGAATAAAGTTCAAAATACTGCTGCTAATCTTTAATTGCTGGGTTGGACTCCTGCACCCTGGAGTGTGTCAGTGAACTGTAACTTCACTACAAACCCTACATGTCATTTGTTCTCTATGGGCTTTGGCCTTCTTTCAGATCCCAAAACTAGACTTCCAACCTTAGCAGACTATGTGTTCTGTTGTGCAGCTCCTAATCCTAATGTTTGTGTCTTACCATGCGACACACCATACTGGCCTGGCCTGTCACTGGCCTGTTCTTCACCAAATGTCATGGTAGAAAGTTCTGATGATGGTGTCAACTATGGATCTGGAAAATCAAACTGGTTACACAGGTCTTTAACAGAAGGTGTCCCAGTAGTGTCAGAACAGCAGATGAGAAATGTAACGAACAGTTCTTTCCGGACCCTATGCGGACGACACAGTCATGCAGGAATACGGGGCTGAAGACAGGGGGGCGTGTCCAAGGTGTGCTGGTGTATGGGGGAGGTGTGGCCGAGGCGAACAATACGAGAGAGTAGTCCTTAGGGAATATCCAAAACGCAAGGGTAAGTCCAAAACCAGGAGATCCATCAGAACAAAGAATTAAAAACCACGAAGACCGGGTCGGAACCGGCGGACGGGGAACAGGAACGGGAACAGAGGTTAAAACCTTAACGGGACCAGGCGAGTTAAAGGTCCCGGACTCGCACGATATGGAAATCAGATGCAGAGCCCGGATGAGCGTCAGCGCCCGGCTTTTAAGGTGGGCTGGGAATGGGAAAAAGGTGCAGAGAATAAAGTCTTGAGTGAAAGGGCTGGAGCACCCTTAAGGAGGGGGAACTAATATCGTGACAGAAAGATGCTGGGTGGACACTGAGACAAACCACTCCTGGGACCTTTCATTATTTCCAATCCCAAGTACCTGGTTTCTGTCAGACATTTTCAGTCATGGCACCTTACAGAAGAATAGTAATGTGTTGTTTTAGAAGGATGTGCTAAAATCCCAAAACATTGGATTTGGAAATACATTGGCCAAATACATAAGTTGTAGGTTACTTGGCTCCTGGGAAACTTGGCCCTGGTGTAAGTGTGTGCAGGCCTGTGTCTGCCCTATAATGGCCTGGCGTCCCATCCAAGGTGTATCCTGCCTTGCGCCTGTTGCTTGCCAGGATAGGCTCTGGCTCCCCCGTCACCCTGAATTGGATGAAGCTTTTACAAAATGTATACTGTAGGTCACAGACATGTTGCAAAATGTTTGTGCACTACGTCATTAAAGTGGATGTAATTGAACAGTCACTTTATAAATCTAACTGATTCATGAAAAAATATCCAATGCTGTTGTCTCTTCATTTTTATTCTGAGTTGATGTTTGAAGTTAATGTTAGTTATAAATTTAATGATAGCATGTGTAACAATCATTCATCTTCTTCTGAAATGCCAGTAGCCAAAGTAAAGTACAATCTTCTGAACTGGCATATTTTGCCGTATTTTATAGGCTATGAAGGAGAGAGTCTGCTTAAATTTCTAAAAGATATTGAAAACAGTACAGAGGTCCTGCTTGACCGGTGGAAGATTGAGGTGATTCCTAATGACAAGGATGAAAAGGGTGACCCTGTGCCTTACAGCATAGTAAACAATTACTTCTCCATTGGAGTGGTAAGTCTTTGTGAGCATGGACATACTGTATTCTGCAAAGGATGCTGCTGAAATTACATTCCTTGCTTAACATCGTGCCAGCTAAATGCAGATGTTAGGTGATTACTAAATAATTTATTATATTTAGAATTTAGTCTCTTTCATTTCTGTTGTGTTTAACTTTTCCATTTACTGAAAAAAATCACTCCAGTGACACAGGAAACATATTATTCCTAATGTTTTACATATTCAAACTCTGCACTGTGTGACAGATTGGATGACTGAACTAGTGCTATTACTTTTAGTTATCAATGACTATATTGACCAAAGTGTGTATATACATACTGTACATGCTCATTGCTTTCTGCAAAGTACAGGACAGAACCTGTGCACAGAGTTAAAGCAAAGCTTATTATTTTCATTAATTTATTATTCATTGCAATATTTTTTACTGTCATGTTTTGTGTGTATTTCATAAAACGAGTTTAACACCTCTGTAAGTGTGTTTAAGTGTTTAAAGCATTATGCCATAAGTGTTTAAATCCACATTGTTGTTTTTTTGCACAATAGGGTAGCATGTATTTTTCATCGTTGCAAAAAGAGCAGCCATCAGTCTACTTTAAAAACAAAGGGGTGGACATTTTGTAGACATTTAGGATGTTTTAGAAAGAGAGAACAGCCTGCTTGTCACAATGTTGAAGGTATTTGCAGGACACACGTTCTTATACTTCAGTGTTTATTAATTGATTTCCGACTGGAAGAAAAATGCTTACTGCCTATACATATTTACAAGTAACAATGTATTGCAGGCATGCTCTGATTCTGACTTCTTTCAAATTTTCCTAATGATGCAGATTATGTGTCTTACATATTAGCCATTATAGCTAAATGCCAGTGGAATGATGGTAATTGACATTTGCAGATTAAGCTACGCTGTCATCCTCACAACTGCTATTAAAAAGTGATGCTGGGATAATGATGCATGCATTCACAAATGTTATTCAAATAATGTAGCAGTTATCTTCCCTGACCCGCTGTCATCTTGGCCCAAACAGGGTAGGTAGTCATTGAAAATCCTGAATTATGTCTAATGCATTATTGTGTCAGCACTTATTGTAATCATACGGTAAGAATCTGTAGCCAAACAGTCCCCTCAAAAAATGATTTAAACAGTAGAGTGATTTACTAACCATTCTTTTATGAGTTTAATCTCTGCTTAGATATGTCAGTATTTTGTGAATAAAACCTTGCTCCAGCGGGTGAGTCAATACTTTTGCCCTCTTCTGTAGAGTACCAAACCTTATGCTTACAAAACAGAAGTGATGAAAATCATTAATTCTGGACATCTCTGCTAACTATTATTTTTTAGACATTTACAGAAAAGTGCGCTAACAGCCTAGAGGAACACCACCCCAACGAGTTTGTAGGTGTTTTTAAAATTATTACCTCTATAAAACCTTCCAACAATTTACTGTATGTGTTCATCTTAAAAACAAATTTGTTCAGTTAAATAACTGAGACCTCAGGTGGACTACAGGACCAGGGCTTTCTGCTATAACTCGCATTTGTTCATTGATTTTTTTTACGAGAGTTATCACCCTTTAATCTCCTGCAAAATTAAAGTTCATTCATGCAGTATTGAGAGGGTGTTTGAAAGGAAAATCCAATGGCCTCAGGTTAGTGAACGAATGTTATGAGCACACACCAAGATATCAGCAGTCAGCAAACAATTAATAAACAAGTTTAACTTTAAATGCATTGCAGGAACTCCTTTCTCTTTGGTGTGGAGTAGTTTTGCTGATATCAGGTGACAGAGAATGCAATTTTCCACTGTGCAGTTTCTCCTAATGCAGCACTGGTGCTCCTGTACTGAGCTTCAACACCACATTACCAGTGATCAGTGGTTCCATCCTGATGTTGGCTTTTCAAGTGAAGCTAAATCTGGAATACATTTAGAATATTGTCCTGGCTTTAAAAAGATGAATGAGTTTTTTAATTACTGCATTTATATAGAATATGTACTTTACAGTTTAAGTCATTTAATCCAGAGTCTAAAACTGAGTGTCTTTTGAAAAACCATTTCCTTCATTATTCTCAAGGTATTGGATAGAAACCAGTTTGGAAATGAACTGATCGACTGCTTTTACATGACGTTCCTGCTGTTCACCACACAGGAGAGCAGAAATGTGTTTTTTTTTAGCAGCAGACTTCAAGAAGCATCACATCATGACATCACACATGTCTAATAATCCAGAATTGAAAAGTACCATTTATGGTCCAGGTTTCAAGGAACTGTAGAGCAGGACAAATAACTATCCTAGCATAAGCATGAATTTGTCCCCACATTTTAACTTATATTAGAAATATGGTGGTTCATCATAGCTTAACATACCTTTTTTTCCTATTCAGAAGAAAACCAGATGCTTGTTGGAAAGTCAGAAAAACTGAGAAAAACCCCTGAGGTCACTTAAGCTCAGTCTTTTCCCAGTTTGAAAATCAGCACTGTGTTTTCATTTTTGAGTTTCTGTCTGGACCTTATTAGCAAAGAAGTGCTTTGATATATTTCTGAAAAAAATAAAACACAGAGGTTGTTATTATTGTTGTTGTTATAAACGTTTTGATTGCTTTCATTTTAAATTGTAATGGACATTTTACTTCATTGTTGTATTGTTGGATTTATTAACTCAGCAAGTGATTAACTCAAAGCACAAAAAGGCGATGATATATTCAGCTCCTGTAGCCTCTGCCTTAGAGTCAAGGACTTTGGCCCTTGTGGCCAGGGCTAAGGGTTAAGTCCTATTTAAGGGGCAAGGCTCAGTGCTCTTAATTGGTCTGCTCTGTGACATGTGATGTACTGCAAGGGGCGAGCTAGGGTTTATATAAAAGAATAAAGCTGTTGATTTGAGCATTAGAGGCTGTACTGTATGTTCAATGTTCTGAAATCACAGTGGCATTAAACACGATATTTTATATCCAACTTGACAGTAAGACCCATACTGTCAGTTGTCATATGTTGTTTAAAAAATTAACATGAGGAAGATTAGTGCTGAGCCGAGCCATAATTACTTGGAGAATAGATATAAATGCATATGAAACCAAATATAAATGAAGAAAAACCATGAATATGTTAACAACCAAAGTGCAGAGGTACAGAAAGACCACATGGCTCAGGACAAAAGCTGACTAAGAATCAAAACAGGATTACACCTGTCAGATATTGTGTTTGTGCATGTGTGCATTCTACACTGCACATATAAATGTCTCTATGGAGAAAATATAATATAATATATTAATAGAATGCAAGTTATTGGATGGGAGCATGGCTGGAAAACTTTGCTTTATAAAAGTCAGATAATCAACATCACTTTAAATTAAAAAGACTGTTTTTTTTCATGTATCCTTGCGAAAATCATACCAGATGCTTCATACTATAAATTCCAGATTATGCTGAAAGATTCTGAACTTTCCAACCAAGGATTCCTATTTTAAAGTCACTGTTTCCTTTCACGTTGAAATGTACGTTTGAATATTCTGGACTGCTCTCTGCATATTCCAGCTATGGATCTTTCTTGCACTTTTCGCTGCTTTTTTCAGTCAGTTTTGCAGTTGACGGATAACATGTCAGCAGCAGTACTTTAATTAAAGAAGTCAATAGGCTGATCCAATGTCATGATTTAAGGTCAGGTTTGGCTTAAAATGTCTACCAGACTGTGCAATCCTGCTGTGTCAGTTCATGTAGGGAAGATATAGACATGAATAGATTTGCTGTGTGATTCATCCTGGAATGAAGCACCAAATTGTTCTTCAGTGAGCACTATCGGATTGTATTTTCTAAGATCACATTAATGGAAGTAATTCTTTAATCTTGTTGAAGTAGATGTATTTGGATATGTTGTGGTGAATTGTTATTCCCAATTTATACCATTTGTCAGTGTTACATTTTCAATAACTGCAATGGCACAAAGAAATAAAAAGATGGTGGTCCTGTTTAGGAAAATGACAACAAAAGTAATAAAATGATAATACTGTATGCAATTGTGTGCATATAATGTTATTTTAATTACACAAGAGAAAACACTAAAAGCAAGAGGATACCATTCTGCCCATCTAGTGTATTTAGCAGTTAGTAGCCGGGATAATGTCTTCAACAATATGGCTGGGTAGCTTTTTCCAGACTCCCACTACCCTGCCTATAAAGATGTGCCTCCTGTTCTCAGTTTTAAATGGACTTCCAAGTACTTTCCACTTGTGCTCTTTGGTTCATGTTTTACTTTTGGACAGTAGCATCAGTTCTGACTGCAGTCCCCTCTCTTTTCTAACTCTTTCTCAAGTAACATAATAATATAAAACATTGCGTAAAAGCGACTGCAAATTTTTATCTTGTTAAAAATGTATCAACACAATTTTTTGTCACAGTGCTCAAAGTGGATTTATACAGTCCATATATACAGAAAGCCTTAAACACCCCCAAGTGGGATTTCAATCAAGAAGGGCAGATAACCTTTCCTCACCATGTTAATGATACATTGGATTTTGCAATTAGAGTCTGCACAAGTCTCTATCGAGATTCTCAGACTCCTTTGAAAGGAGATGCCATTTTCATATTGATCCTTTCTTATCCTTTGTGCTAACTAGTGGAATAATCTTGCAGGAGGTAATGACCCAGTGAAATAAGTATAACACTTGAAGCTAATCACGCAAGTCGCCTGAACCTGATGTAGTTAGGCTACTAATGACCCTGTGCTCCTGCCAAAGTCATTATTCTCACTGTGAGGAGATATCATTTGGGCTTGGGCACTGATAATTGGACTAAAAGCTGAGCTATGAGAAGGCATTATGCATGTCCTTTATTAATTTTGGAGCTGTATTCTACAAAAGTAATTATTTGAGCAGCCCAAAGAACAGTTATGGCGAGCTTCCTCAGATCTGCTGTCTTCAAATAACTTGTTGTGAACTCAAGGTTAAGAAGCAGAGTTCATAGCACATTCATCTAAGGCCCTTCAAGTGATTATAATAACTTACAGATGTTTTTAATAAGGAGTTCTAGAACATTGGAGGTAAAGGTGTTGTGCACCTTTGCAACCCTGCTATGAAAAGTTAAAAAGTGTTTTTTAAATTTAAGTATATAACTTACAAGTATACAAATGTTAACATATATTCTAATATACATTCTTTGTATGAATATATTTTGGATGTTTTACTATTCCTTTATATAATGAAGTGTTCCCAATAACAAAAATAATATAAAACAGTCACTAAATATGCTGCTAAAGCATGCTGCATTAGTCACTAAACTAAAAGAATAGTTGAAAAAAAGAGGACACTTTCGACTCCACAGCCCTGCTGAAATTCAACAGGATGACATTTACTGCAAAAGTATAGAAATATAAAAGTACAGTGTACAGCAATTCAGTACAGTGTTACAGAATGTTTTTACAATATGTGTTATTTATCTAAATTTAAACATTGTTTCATTACGCTGAAAGCCATCAATCTGGCATGTGATCAGAGCACTGCTGCTAAAGAATGTGCCGATACACCATGAGAGCAGAGTTCATAACTGAGCCACTGGGTGCCTGTTTGACTACCCTTTCCCGAAGTGCTACTCACAACTCATAGCTACTGAAACCACTTTGTTGAATGTGGGACTGCAGGCAAGTTCCCTGCACTACATTCAACAAGTCATTGCTAATCCTCACTCAGTGAACATCCGACTGCAGCTGAGAAATATAAAAGAAGAGCACAGAAATACCAACTGTGTCACTTCTGAGATCCATGCATGTCCACACTTTACTGTACATTGGCTTCAAAGCAGGGTGTTTTGGTGAGCTTCACATCCATTGTATTCCTGTTTATGCAGATAACTTTGAGATGGGTTCAGTGTATACAAATGAACGGCTTTTCTACAGTACATTGAAGTCTGGTGAAACTGCTTTAGTCTGCTTTGAGCAGTTTGTTGGTAAATCTCAAGAGTTTCACTCACCCAGCGGGATCTGCCTCTGCGATCTCAGGGCTTTGATCAATGTTAGTGCTACCATGCCTTTAAGATACTGCTTTTGAACTTTTTCTTTCTTATTTTATGATTGCCGTATAGCTTGTAAGAAGTCAAGTAACACTGTTTAAGATGTTTCCATCAGCACTCCAGTTCTTTCTTGCATGCAGAGTGTTATCTTTGGGGAGTTTAAAAACAAACATCACTTTGGTCTCCGTCTAACATCACCTACAAAAGACATCACATTGGAAAAAAAATCAGCTTTTTGGGGTTCTCAGTTTCATGCTGTGAGACATCAGGGGGGATCTCCTGAGGTTACAGACACAATAACTGGATCCAAGTAACAGATTGCTTTTTAGATGGAAAAAAAAAAGATCTTCTTTGCTCAGTCAAAATAAATAGCAAAGGCTCTTTAACTCAGTGTATTGTTAAATCTTAAAGGGAATTGTCATGTTTTTCAAAATGGCATAGGAAGCACCATTTATCAGTGTTCTCTCAGCTATTCCTAAAGTCTTCCAAATAGTGTTACCTGCAGTTGGAATGTTGTGCACAAGATTCTCCTTGCCTGCTGATTCTGTGTCTGCAGGTGTTGTGTTTCTGCCATTGTGGTCAAACACTCCAAATGAAACCAAAGCATATGAAACATTGCACTATATAGAAAGTCAAACTGGTAAAGAAATAAACTGTAAAGTGCAAATGCTACATAAATGAGCTACTACTTCAATAAAAAAATCCTGTTTGCCAGATTTGATTAGAGGTTGTGCTTTAGACTTCTTAAATATTAATTGCCGGATGTATAAACTGATGCAATGTCACAGAGTTTTCTCCTAACATGATTCTTTCTATGGCAACAAATAGATAACACACGAATAAAATAAGCCCTCATGTTGCCAGGAACGGGAAAAGAAACACAACATAGTTGCCAAGGGAAAATAAAACATCTTATATGGTTTCAGCTCTTATTATTCAATATGTGTGTTTAATTAATTAGACTTTGTAGAGACCCTGTGGTGTTTGAGATGGCAGGGGAGTTTTTTGTCAATAAAGTGATATCTGTGTGAAAACACAGCCTTAAGTTACCAAGGAGCTCATTTTTTCCAAAGCTCAAAAGAATTAAATGTATTTGTATCAATAATTATGCATTTTCAGCATTTATGTAATGAAACGGTCATGCTTGAATATGATATATATCTAAATGGAGTTGTTTGTTTTAGTACACCTGTATATTGATTAAGCAAAAATATGTTTTCTGGTTCCATATAGTATATTGGTATCATTCAACTATTTAGATGTAAACATGTTGCACCATCAGTTTACAGAAACCAACCCACAACACAACAAAAACTACATTTTTAGAGAGATTTTAAAATCACACACAGCTAGAAATTTGGTGCTGTTGTCATTATCAAAGCATGCATGGAAACATAAAAATATTTAAACTGCTAGAATGCATTTATTCTACCATTAATCTAGAATTTTATATTTTGGTATTGTGCGTAAATAAAATAATGGATGAAAAAGTGTAATTGAATTAGTCAGAGCAATATCATAGCAGTAATCTAGGTTAATTCTGTAAGAATTCTGTGATGTTTATTTACAGTACCATTCATCTGGAATAGCAGGTTTATGAATTTGCTGATACTACATGACATGGCATATGTGTTTATGGTCTATTAAACAAAACAAATGATTAATTCTTCAAATTCTTACAATTTATGTCATCTGTTGAATGTCACGAGCACAAAGCAGGGAAATATTGTGTCTCTCAGCTTGATGTAGTAAACATTGGGAGAGAAGGAAGAAAAGCTCATTCTGCTACATTCTAACTTCTGTTTCACCAGGTTTTTTTTCTCTTTCCTTAAGGATGCTTCCATTGCACACAGATTTCATATCATGCGGGAGAAGCACCCTGAGAAGTTCAACAGTAGGTAAGTTTGGATTTCATTTACAGCTTTTTCCCCCTGATTTAACAGATAATTAAACAGCTTATATTGTGTAACATTGAACATTGTTTGCAGCTTATATACAGTAGGTCACATTTGTCATGCATGTTTTGCACAAAAATAAATTTTAAAAATGCAGATTAAAGTACTATACTAAAGGACAATCGTTGCGTCCACCACAAAATCATTTTTGTTCCTATAACACAGGTACAGTAATATAATACCTGAAACTCAACAGGTACTTCAAACATTACAATTAAACAGTAGCAAAACCTGGTAAGTTTACAACAATTTCTTTAATTACAATATGCCTGGTGAAATGCTGTTACTTCATTTGTTTAGATTTAAGATGTGTGAAGTAATGTGGATAGATCTACTGTATTATTTTTATGGAGGTTTATGTGCAATGTACTCTGCACGAGGTTATGTTTACAATGCAACATATTTTTCTGCTCTGCAAGAGATTTTTGGGGGATTTTTAATTTTTAATGCTGCTTGATAAACAGTTGTCTCATAAACTGAGTGTATGGCTTACCCATCCAGAAAGAAAGATGTTTCTTCCTAGATTTGTTTTTAAACAACATGCACACAGAAGAACGCTAGATCTTTATAGCAGTAATAATAAGAACAGTTTTCAGTCTATATAATGTGTGTATTTTTATTAACTATATGAATTATTACTGCCTGGCCTTTATGGGATTTATTTTTAAAGGATGTATTATTTATTTGTTAAAATACTTTAAATCTTGATTTGCTCTCTGTTGCTTTCTGTATATACATTATATAGCAAGTATAATATGTTTTACATTATACTTTATATTTTTTAAATGATTAAAAATTGGTTTACAAAACAAATTGAGGGTCTAGAACTGAAATCGTTGTATGTACTGTATAGAGTGAGTATAATACACCTGTTAGTTCTAACCCAAAAAGTGTTTTCCTTCTTGCCGAAAAATGCATAAATGGAGCATCTACATCTACTGTATATCAATAATTAAAATACCAATAAATCATTCGTCACAATGGGAAATAATTGGTTGTGTAATTGAATTTGCTTGGGTAGATTTAAATCATTTATGGGTCTGAATGAAGACGTAAGACCTTTTGCAGAGACTCTTAATAGACAGGAAAATAATCACATTTCCACATGAATGGTTTATAGTGGGGTGATTTGCTTAGTAAACCACATTTTCCAGCTGTATTTTTTGTGCTGTGAAGAAATTCATAAAAAGTAGTCTGTGGGTGACGTCTAGCCACCCAGAGGTCACTGTAGTAAAGTATAAGAAAGAGATCCAGCAATACCAAAAAAATTGTCGAGGAGCAAACTATATGCAGATATTTTTTTTAATCTTTGGGTCTGGAGAGTGTGCCTCCCAGAATGACATCTATTGCAATACATGCTCATACTCTGCCTTGTCTACATTTCTACATGTCTACATTTCTGTTTCCTTCCAGGAAACAATGTACAGTAGAAAGGAGTTATTTGACAAAGTAATTTGTTGACTACTGTATTTTTGTGTAGTCCCTTTTAATATAACTCAGATCTACAGTATATGGTACTTCTTTAATCTTCACATCTGACAAACAGATCACCGCACATAAAAATCTGAGATTCTTGTAGATTGTACTTTTACATTTGTTTACTCAGTTCTCTTTCTGGCTGCACTGTAATGAATCCCACAGCTGAACATCGTGAATTTCCTCAGTGAGACAAAATGCTTAGAAATTCTGAGCCTGTGTATATAGATATTGTTTTATACCATTTTGAAAAATGATTGAGATATTTTAAGAAAATTATATCATCTGTTATTTGAATTCTATGAATATTTTATAGAAAGGAATGGGTTTAGGATCTTTCTATTATACACTATCCTTTTTATTTTAATAATGCATGATTATACTTTTTCAAGGTATTGTATCTTCAGCCCACTTAAACAAAATATAGGACTCTTGTTCAATACGTTTTAAAAAGTTTCCAGTTCAATATATTAAATATAAGCCATTTTACAGGTTCTCAAAAATGTTGTGTCTTGAAGGGATCATAGACATAAATTTACTGGCAAAATCAGTAACCAAAGGGGAAAAATATATAGAAACAGTTTTAATGTTCATTATCTTATCCACCTAAAAAATATTCACAGTATGAATAAAGAATATTTAACCTGAAACTGTGCTTAGAATCAGAATATTTTAAAAGGAATCCATGCTTTGTGGAGTCACACTTTGCCTCTTGAACAGCAGCAAAGAATCCATAGTTTCTGCAGCCCTAGAATAGTGTTAATGGTTTGCAATCTCAACCCACATGAAGCTCAAAGTGGTTCAAGTTCTGATAACCTGATATTCTTGGTATCTTTTATGTTAGTGATGCTGTATGTTGGGGACAATACCTCACATTTAAAATCCTGCCTTCTGTGGAAGGACAGACATTGATATACTGTAGAAGGCAGGCCTCCCTCCTAGAAAACCCAAATATATCAGCCATCTAGAACTCTAAACCTCCAGCTGTTGTCATGCAGAGTCCCAGTAACAGTGCAACACAGCACACATTGTTGCAAAAAGTGCCTATTCTCCATTGGCTTTGTACTGTTAATGATTTAGTGTACATGTTAGGGCTGGTCAGTAATGAATCCACACATAACCATCTCACAAAATGTGAGAATAAACTGACCCCAGTTGAATATGACTGTGTCCATCCCTAAAAAATTCGATTTAGAAAACAAACAAATTTTTTTTAAGAAAAACGTCAGTCACACTTATAAAGCACTGTATGTAGTAGTTTTACATCAGATAAATATAGGTCCATAATCAGCTAGGCCAAAGCAGTGTCACAGATTTTGTGAAGTCTGTTATTTTAATTGAGTTCTGGTATTTAAAGTACAGAATGTTATATTTGTCATAGATCTGACCTTAAACAAGGCATAAATATTTGATCAGTTTTAATTAACAACAAAATAATGACATGTTCTTTTTTAATTATTAAAGAAATGATCTTGTTGATGAATACACAGTACTCCGTCTTTTTATTTGCACCTAAGGTGATTATGAAAAAAAAGGTGACAAAATTTGACACTTTGCAAATAGATTAATTTACTTCTAAAGCCAGTCCATAAGAAGGTGATAATTAGGTCTGTGGATTAAAGTAAGGCAATCAGGCCACTGACACAGAGGCTTGTTAAAATATATTGTTCTTTATGTCAGTTATCTCAAATGTAATTATATGCTAATCTCTGCTTAAAAGAAAGGTTTTCAGATCTCTTCGCATGAATCCTGAATTGGGTATGAAATATTTTGACCAAATGTCATGAATTTTATTAGAATTGGTGTCGATGTCACAGTAATTATACCTTGGCTTTTGTCTGAGGCTTACAAAGACTTTTTGAAGAAATTTGGAGTGATGTCCCACTCTATTATTTCTAAATGTTTTAAACTGGAATATTGCATCATTTTATTTTTCATGTTTATTGAGTGATTCTCAATGGCACCAGATTGCCAGGAGCTTACTGAAAAACCAAAGCCAGGGTGTGCAGATGTGCATCGTTTTTTATACGACGCACCTACTGTATCAGATATAACGGAAAGCCAAGGAGGATTTTAACCATACAATTTAAACAGATAGTGCTGCAATTTGTGAATTAAGGGTCTGCTATACAGTATCCCTCTCTTCATTGTGCAGCCAATCAATGGCATACAGTATGATGTTTTGTTTTCCGAAACCAATCGATTTAATACATTTGTGATTATTTTGTTTGGTTTGTAACAGCTTTTGTGCAGTTCATAAAGTTGGCATTTGTATTTTGCAGTGTGGGTGTGAGGGCTTTTGTGGAAGAGGTGAGAAACTCTACTGCTTAGACAGCATGAGGAAATGTGCACATCCGATGGGAGGTGTGCACTTTTCATGAACATTGGGTGTACAGAGAAAAAGGACAAAATGGACAGATGTGTTATGCTCTGTTGTGTGTGAGTTAAGAAATGGGGGGACTAACGTTATTATTATATTATTATTATATTAATTCAGAAAAGATAGGGAGCTAAATGCAGACCTTTGTTACGATTGTGCTTATTCTCATTTAGCCCTTTTTCTATTAGACGTGTGGGTTTTTTTACTATAAAAAAGGGGGAAAAGTCTGGAAATGACAAACTTTTTGAAAAAATACTACAGGGAAAATGACCGTAACCAAGGTCCTGTCAGCAGTTTACAACCAGTTTGTCTGTCCTACAGAAGCTCAGTTTCCGGCTTGCCTCATGCAGCCTCTTTCTGTTTTTAATTTGCTGTCTGCAAACGTGATTCCTTTTTAATTTTCGTCATGTGGGGCAAAGAATTTAGGAGGCTAAACAGTTATGAAGAGCTACATGTAGTATTTCACTGAATTGCCTCTATCATTTTCTATTTTTTAAGAACAAATATTCAGAACAGAATGTTTTTGTTCTCATGTCTCATCCCTTGAGATTTTAAGGTCCAAGCATCTGTGAAGTTTCCATCACAGTTATTACAGGGCTGGATGGCTCAAAATGCCTTCTGGTAAATAAAGGGCTGAAAAGCTTTCTTTCTTTTTAATTGAATTTAATTGGTGTTTTGTTTATACGTTTTTAAAAATAGAATTTTTATATTGCTGCTGCAGGGGGCTACGGTACATAAATATATTTTTTTAAGTTTCTGGACAGGGAGCAGTTAAACAGATTAACCTACTTGTGTCCACACACAATTCATTGGCCTGGCCAATGAGTGTTTCACTATAGTGCATACACTAAGAACATAAGACACATTACAAATGAGAAGAGGCCTCTTGGCCTGCCTTGCTCATTTGGTAGTAAGTAGCTACAATAATTGTTCCAAGGATCTGATCCACTCTTTTCTTCAAAGAGGACAGGATATGAGCTTCAACAACTTGGCTGGGTACTGTAGCTCGATCCACACTCCCACACCGCTTAAAGATGTGCTTCCTGTTCTCAATGTTAAATGCAGGTAATGCAGACTTAAATGGTGG